TTTTTTTGCAAATGTTTCGACAGATAGCATTCTCCAACACTTACCTTTTGCTCCTTCGTAGGACCAGATCCTGCACGTTCATGAAAGAAAGGATATTCCGCTGCTGTATAATCGTACTGCCATTCCACAAAATGATTTGCTATGTCAAAAGCTCGATAATTATAAGAGCAGTATTCAAAATCGATAAGAACTAGTTCTGGTTTCCGCGTATTTTGTCGTAGCAATATATTACCCTCTTGCATATCATTGTGACAGAAAACAACCGGATATTTATGTCGGGTTGCGAGAGATCTGAAAAAGAAAAAAGAAAAAAAGGTTTCTTGCCATAGAATGTACACAATGTACACATGTGTATGTATGCAAGTCGTGTACAGGACATGGCGATATTTTATTTCTCCGTCTTCTCTCACCTGAACCAGTTAATCTCGTGATCTAGGTCGATCGCTCGTACTATGTTGACGTTTTTCAAATGTCGAACATCAATGTCTTCGATATTTTCTAATATATCAGTAGCCGTGTCCAACCATTTGGCCATAGTATCCCAGAGCCAAGTTGGTTCTTTGCTTATCGGAACTTGCATGTTGTGTATCTGAGCCATTTTCTCGGCTATCATGGAGCTTAAAGTCGGATCGGCCAATTCTTTGGTAAGCAACGGTCTCGCAGGTATATATTCCTCTATTCGACCGCCAGGGAAGATGCCGTGTAACTTGGGTCCGAGTCGTCTTTCCGACAGTAACGTAAAGATGACCGACTCGGTGATTAGTCCTTCCAAAGCTCTCTCCCCGTGTATTTGACCGTACAGTCGCAACAAAACTTGCCGTGGTTCGCCTCGGATCGGAACAGTGCCGTCGGGCAACTGGACATTATATAACCAATTGCTCAATCCGCCGCTGTAAAATATCGAATAATATTTAATTCAGCTTACGTATGTTTTGTCATATCTCACTAATACGACATATCTCATATTTCGTCACAATATAGTTCGTTACAATGACATATACATACTATGCGATGTGATGATATATTCCGTCATCGCGAACTGTGTGACGACGTGTGTCACACATCTTGTGGAGAGTGTATATAGTGTACAATACAAACATAGCTACCTCGGAACGGAAAAATTAGGCGGTTGAGGAGTTAATTATTAAAATCAACTGTAATCAACTGTATGTGTACCAATGCTGTATGTAATTGTATTATGGAACCTCGAAGCGAGTTTCGAGCGTACTGAATGAAATAAAAATATATACCACTGTTATCACAAGGCATTTCTCGAAGTATTGATTAATATTTTCAGTTATGTACATCACATTTCAAATTACAGCCGCAAGTTACGTATTCTTACATTTTATATCTAGTTTAATTCCTATGAATTTTTGTAAACTGAGTACATCTGTGCACGTTTGATTATCCGAACAATTTCATCTTTCGAATCACTTTGGAATCCCAATTTCCCGATTCGGATAATGTATCGTATTTACAAATATACACGTGATTCGAGTAGGTACATATGTAGTATTTTGGAAAGATGCACATGTTACGCAACGATACGGTGAAATATGAAAAACAATTGGTCAACTTCATCGCGATGTTTAATTGCTCGACACTTCACGACCGATCAGAATCTCAATGTTTCCCTTTTGAGTTGTAAGTAGGGGAGCAGATTACAAATTACAAGAGGTCTGGTGCAGGCATCAGAGAATTAAGGCAACATTGCAATGCCAAAGTGATCGGAAAGTGAGAAGAGTGTCGTCGAAAGGTGATGCGGCAAAAAAAAAATATTGAGTTTAGGTCTCAATGGGCCGCGAAGTTTGCCCTGCGTCAAAGTGAAGAGAATGATCAATTCCGATTAAATCTGAAAAAGATTTGGGCAGGAGAGACTGAGAGACGTTGGAGCTATGTGAGTAATGACTAACCTGATACGTTTCAACGTGATGTTCTCCATGGTAACGTGCTTCCAAACTCCGTAAAGGTAATCGCGGCATATGCGCGCTGCCATTTCCCGCATCTCTGGATTCTCTTCGGACATCTGGTGTAAAAGACAAAGACGTTGAATCATTATCGGCGACGAATGTTTCTTTCCATAATTTGATAATAATTCGGAATACATACATACACACATACATATGTACATATGGAAATGACATTTCATGGGAACGAAATCGTGAATCCGTGAAATCGTGATCTAACCGACTGACTGATCGGATTTATGCTTAAACGTGGACATGATCACAATCGGGTTAATGATACGCCTATTACGCATATTACGTAAAAATACATATGTATACTACGTATATATATATATATATATATATATATATATATATATATATATATATATATGTACACGATATACATATGTATATCTTTGAGGGAACGTGATTCTTTTGTGCTTTATTCCGTTCATTCCTCGACAGATGATGCTCTGATAACCTGATTAATTATGAAAATACGTAATTAAAAACGTGAAAGATTCAGCCAGTTACCGTACCCACAACAAGGGTCGCCCTTTTTCCTTTCTCTTTCGTCGTTCTCCTTCCAAGGAAGAACACGCCCCCGGAAGGTCTAGATTCGTGAAACGCGACGTTTCGACGGGATACCGTCGCGGACGCGACACAATTTCGAAACTGTCGATACCTTCGGATGCAATTACTTATCGTCGTAAAACATCTAGTACAAAACTGGACGTGCAAACGCATCCAGCGCGGTGTATCACATCGTAATCACCATCGCCCACCGGCCGACCCAGTCCACGTTGATGCGAGACTTGCGCGAAAATAACGATCGATATTTCGTACTATATAGTATTTCGTACGTGTTATTTCGCCAAGTGATCGTTTTATCGTTTCTTCCCGACACGATTAACGTGCGAAACATCTATGCACATACGTACATTGAGTATAAACGCGTGAAACGAAAAAGAGAGACATGATAGATAAATAGATTACACATTTATTCGTGTTCGTTCGTCACATACATTTCAACATAAATATATACGTGCATACACACACACACGCGCGCGCGCGCGCGCGCGCATACATACACATATATTGACAAACAAACTATTCGATCGTGCTAAACAACTTGTTTTACGCGACGCGCTAAACTTCATCGAGCACGTTCTTTTCGTGTGAATCAACTTGTTTCGTAATGACTCATTGTCAAGATTATAGAAATTGGAAAAATACTGTGGTCGTACGTCATCGGGTCTACGGAACAGATTTTTCCTTAAAGAGAAAATCATTATAATTTTTATCTCACATCAACTAACCTTTCTCCATGTTAAACACGAGTGTACATCTAACGGAGATAATGTGATAACAAAATGTGATAATTCTGAGTAATTTTAAAATAGTAAAAGACGAGGGATGGATAACATCCAATTTTGGAAATTAACGCATTAGACGCTTTTCGTAAAAATTAAACACGTTTGTTTTATTGCTGCAGTGTACATAATTACCTACATGTACATATATTATTATGTTACCTACCGTTCCTGTTCCTACCATCTGTGGATAATTTTACTTTCATCGAGTTTCACGAATAGAAAAATTTATTTAAATTTCAAACATAACGATCATCGATGTATACCCATTTACGTAAATTTAATCAATTTAATCGTCCGATACAAAACTTTTGAAAACAGTTTTGCTGCAATTGGCAAGCAAATTTTCAATTATATAATGACTGAACGCAGTCAGTGAGTCGTTAAGATTCAAGATAAAGAGAATTATTGTTCGTTAGAAGCATCGCGGTAACTATTGTTCTAGATCAAACTAGTGTAAAGCTATAAAACTTTGAAACATGTAAAATTACAAACGTATCGAACAAAAATGATTGCTGGATTCCTTTTAAACGATCGTCGTCTGGAGAAATATCACGTTACAATGACATATTAATTAATCAACTGTTGCGTTGCAAGACAGAAAACAAAAGGGGGAACAATAGAAAGCAAATTTTTTGATTGCGCGTTCTGCACTGATCTACGGAAACAAATTTTTATCTTTGCATGTATTTTTTCTTTCCCTGTCTGTGTCCAATTATGGATTTTAATCAATTTTATTCTATTGTATTCAGTTTTCAAACAACTTGCTCCAACTCCTCGATAATATATATGTAAATACATACGTCTAGCTCGCTCCGTTTTTAAGAGTTATCTATCTTACCTCATAAGTTTTGCCAATTTACTAGTTTATATCTTTCATATATTTATTGAAAAATTGAAAACTAAACGTACTGATTGGATACATACGTGTGTATACTCCGTCTTTGTGCATAAAGTTTATCATCTACATCGCTGCAATTGCATTTATGCATTTAGAAAAAAAAAGATAAAATCGAGTTTGTGTCATTGCATTTCGACATACATATCGTGGTGCAATGAATACGCGAAGATACGTAAAAGCTTAACTACATAGCTTCAAATTCGGACATTATGGAAAATATAATGGCCAGTTATAAGAGACCAGAACAATCACATCTTGGCACAAACATAATTGTAGATATTATATACGCACCTTGTTTCCTAAACCCATCTTATCAATTGTTACTCGAAAAATTTGCAGTGTCAATAAATCTTGCGCAAATGGTTGATTCCCACTACTTTATTAACAGGCTAAATTTTGCTTGAAAGCTCAGCTAATCAACTCTCGATACTTTGGTGCTCGATACTTTGTGAACGTAGAACGAAACTGATGTTCGGATCGTGGTACACTATCGCACGAGTATCAAAAAAAAAAATAGATGGAAAAAAGGAGAGGACAGGCAGAGAGAGAGAGAGAAATTCACTGGCGCTCCGAACACTATTTTACAATTTCGACGATTGGTCGAGTTACCGTCGCTTATGTTGCCACGTATAAAACTTGAGGTGATGATCGATCGATCGGTTCGATTTACTTTGAAATTAATTATTATTGAAAAAAATTGCAATGGATAACAGTTATATTGACAAATTAAAAAATGCTACTAATATTTACTCCTGTTATATAGAAGAAAGTTTATAATTTTATCAACGTTGAACAAGCTTTGTACGCTACTTTGTACGCGTATCTTTCGTGATTTTTATTTTAAATACACTAAAACATAGAACAGTGAAGAAATAACTCGCTCGCGTATATTCCTGCACACAATCGACACAAATATGCGACACAGCTTAAGAAAAACGTTGCGGCACGTGATATACGCGACCAATACCATTCAGAGTTCCCCTACTTTTCTGTTACATTTAAACGATGACAGCGCCACTACGCGGTACAATTTCGTTCTTGTCGTCGCACTATGTATGCATGTACGATACGAAACATTTGTTTACACCAGTGATGCGTAGACTGAACATATTTCGGCTTTTAAACATATTTCTTCTCTAAGAACTCGATTATCTTGATTTAGAAAAATGTAGCCATGGAATAACTTCGACTTGCTGGTGGCAAGGCACGAAGAATTCGAATACACCGACCAAGGTCAATTCTGAATATGTACATGCGAAAAGTAGAAACAAATGTTAGTGATCAATCCAAGTAAGCTTTGAATTTTGTCAAGATTCTTCATTCCACTCCTCTGTTTCTAGATTAATATAATTTTGAAACATTATTTTAAACACCGCATTTTAAACAGCGAAAAGATGTATATTGTATAAGTATATACTATATAGTTTAGCATACGCTATTTTATCACATAGAAACGCACACAAAGAAATGATGCAAGAGACACTCCACCTGGCTGTACACAACGTCATTCGGTTATCATTAAACTGTTCTTGCTATAGATATGTAGAAATGTTAATATGAATACTAATACTTGAGATTAAGAAACAACAAACTTCTCTTGAACAAAGTTATTATATTTTCTATTTTTGTATTTCTTCCTTTCATAATTTTAATCGAATTTTCAATGATCTAAAATCTAAAGCCATCTTAAATTCTTTTCCACACGTATACAAAAACGTATCTACGTACATATACATATAGATACTTAGTATAGTGCATGCTACTCATAGTGTACTATATATAGATGCAACGTACGAGTCTGAATGTAGAAAGAACATGAAACTGTGATGACGTTTTGACAAATTATTTTCAGAAACTAGCGATAACCGATGAATTAATTATTAAAATATGTAAAATGTTTCCATTACTGCGACAACGGCCCGACTCTACTGTAATTAATCATGGAAAACAAAATAAACACATGTTATTTTAAATAACAATTTGAAGAAGCCACTGAAAATAAACCACGATAACGAGATGCTATGCGATACAACAAAAAAATATACCAGTTTTGTATAATCTACCTATTAAGATGTCTGATTTTTTTCCATAATTTCGACGAGCGTGATACAACTGGAATTTTAATTGCGAAAGGGATTTCAATGATGTAACAATTAAATTACCTATGAACAAGATTTTAGTATTTTAAAATGCAGATGGAAAGAATTATTACGTAAAGATATCGTAAGTACACGTCGATATTTCTCGATAAGATTAGATAAATTTTTTACTTTTCCACGATCATACAATCTGTACTCGATCGTGTATTGCGTCGAAATAATATAAATTACTACAATATTATATAAAAAGTAACACTTTCTAGTAATGTTGTTATAAATTTAACTACTGCAAATGTACTTTTATTCGCTTTTACATATTGAGTTTACAAGTAGAGAAAAATATTTAGTCATTTATTTCTTTCAGCCATGGCAATAATGTAGAAGGTTTATACAACGCAATGCATCACGAACATTGCGAGGAAGGAATAAGTTGATTACGGTGCTGCGATAGTATCGTGCCATTGCTATCATCATGCAGCTTTCTCATTACGTAGCCATAATAGCTTGTCTGTTATTCAAGTAAGATTACATACATTTACCCTTAAAAATAAAACAAAACTTGAGTCACGAATTGTAAGTAACTTGTATAATATTGAATCACGTTCTTTTTCCAACGAGCATACATTAAAAGTGTACATTTTGAATGAGAGAAATTCGCTCAATTAGTCTATGTACATCCTAGTTCTCTGGAAATAATTATGGGTGACAATTTGATCATTAACGAGATAGTCAAATTTTGAGACAAGACTGCTACTATAAATCTTTTCCTATTGAGCTTTGCTTGTGCACCTATCTGTTTGTTTTTTTCTTTCTTTCACTTCTATAATCTTTCCAATCAAGCAGCCTTACCAATCTTATCTGCTGTATACACGATTTGACGATCTACTTATATTCGTATATGGTATACATATACGTATATATATAGGAGCATAAATATCGTAGTCACTCTACTCGACAAACTTTATGTTTGGTAGGTATAATTTCATATAATTGTGTGTCCATTAGATCAATTATGGGTTCGGATGGTGAACAATTAATATCTGTTGTAAAATGGGGATCTATCAATGGCCAAAGCGTTGAAAAGTACACTTTGAAAAACAAATTGGGTCAAGAAGTGGACATCGTAACATATGGTGCAACGATAACATCTATCAGAATCCCAGACAAACACGGAAAAATAGCAGACATTGTATTAGGTTTTGATAACGTAGAAGGTACAATTAAATTTTTCCAACGGCCTTTGTACAAGCCATACTTTCAAATTATATATATATATACATATTCATCCTTTTGTCTTTCTCTCTCTTTTTTTTTTGAACAATTATGTTCGACTTGATCTTTTTGCAGATTATTCGTCCACTGTTTATAACCCGTATTTTGGTGCAACGATAGGAAGAGTAGCAAACCGTATAAAAAATGGACAGTTTACCCTGAACGGGAGAAAGTATCATTTAGCTAAAAATGTGGGGCAAAATACGCTTCACGGTGGTTTTAAAGGGTGGAATTCAAAAATATGGAATGCCGCTATTCAATGTAATCAACTTGTACTCTCTCTACTAAGCGAAGACGGTGACGAAGGTTTTCCTGGAGACGCGATAGCTTCGGTCATTTTTCAATTAACGACCGATGGCGAGTTACGCATCGAGATGAAAGTTTTCGTTACCAAAGCTACACCTGTTAACTTGACTAACCATAGTTACTTCAATCTAGCTGGTCATGTTCGTAAACCAATATTTAGAAATTTGTCATCTTCTTTATCTTTGGCAACGTTCGCGCAAAATGCGTAATTAACTCCGATCGGATGGGTTTCAGGATGGCAACGCAAAAGAACTATACAAGCATCAGTTTACTTTAAACGCAGATCGTTGGACTGTCACAGACGCAGAAAGTATTCCAACTGGAGAAATACGATCGGTTCTCGATACTGTGATGGACTTGAGAAACTCGACTATACTTGGAGATGTCATTGACAAAGTACCAGGTGGTGGTTACGACCATAATTTTTGTTTAAGGGTAAACGATACCACAAACGAAACAAACCTTGTTGCCAGGGTTTCACATCCTACTTCTGGAAGATATTTACAAGTCTTTTCAAATCAACCTGGAGTACAATTTTATACGGCTAACTTTTTGCCTGAACGCGACAGCGTGAGTGTTCGAGGAAAGAATGGAACCGCATATTTCAAACATGGTGCGTTCTGTTTAGAAACGCAAAATTACCCGGACGCAGTTAATCATGTAAGTATAAATTAAAATTTTAAACTAAATGACACTTTTCTGTTGTAAATGACTAAAATATAAATAATACATGCTTCTTTATATTATTTGAAGTTAATATCACTGCATTGATGCTTACAGGAAAATTTTCCTAATAGTATACTCGAACCTGGCCAAGTTTATTATCACATTGTTATATACAAGTTTGGAGTAGTTGCATAAAAATTATCCATCCTACTTTGCCGATACTACTGGTTTGGCAAATTATAATAATTTCATATTAATAAAATATGACATTACATTATTTTCTGTTTTATATTCTAATAGTTAAGCCAAACATCCTTGTGTACTACATTTTGCCCTAATACACACCTAAACAGTTATACAGATAAGGAGGGTGAAAGGTTCACTTCCAATGGAGAATGTTTCTTTTCATCAGGTATAGAATTTATATCAGCTAGTAGCCTTTCTTCACGTTGCTCCATTACTGGCGCAGTTGGGGGTGTATAACGGTTGGATATAAGTCCTTCTAAATAATATCCGACAGCGGCAAAAGGGATACATAACACTCGAAAAAAAAGTCTATTAAAAAGAATCATGATCTGAAATAAAAGCATACGTCGAATACATATTTCGCTATTTTATATAGTAAATATACAGATCAGAATCTAGCTGATTTTGATAACTTTCAAATATGCTGTAAAAATCAGTACTTTGAACAATTTTTTTCTTGTACATGAACACCCTGCTTTTGGATTTAGTTTCTGAGATATTCATGAAAAAGCTTTTGATATTTTTACTTTGAAATGGGCTATATGTCTCCTGAATTTGAGTTAAGTTTATCTGTGAGCACAATTATACTAGAAGCTCCCGAAACTTCTAAGAGTTTTTGTTTCATATTTCAGTTTGTAAATACAAGAGATGGAACTTGTCGCAAATAAAATTGATGGCCGACTGGTTTCACAGTGTTGGCGACTGGATTTAGAACAATATTGTCCCAAACCTTGTACATATATATAAAAACCATCGAGTTGGCTAAGAATTAAATAAGTTAGATTCGTGGTAATAGTAATTTCAATCCGCTCGCTCAACACTCAATCTGAGCCTGAGTTTACTGACTTGATTCAGATTCGGATTAGGTTAGGATCGGTAATAAATGAAAAAGCAATTTTACAATAAATTATTATTTGCACTAAGTGAGAAGATTTCAACCGTAGCATCGAAAAAGTGTAATTATTTGACTGTCGTACTAAACTAAACTAAATTGTGCAAGTTACATTTCATTCTGACTTGCTGTATTAAAATTTTAGCGAAACATATAAATTCATTGCGGCACGGGTACGCAACATTTTATGCTTTGAGATAAGTCTAATCTAAATCTACATAAGCGGTAAGTAACCTACATCAAAATAAAAATGTTACATTTTGACGAATATCTTGAAAACTAAAGCCCAGCAAGGGTTATGTATAGTATGTATAGGAAAGAGTTGTTCAAAAATTACTTTTTACAACGTATTTGAAAATCGTCGAAATCGATGAGCTCTCATCCATATAATTATTTTGCCACGTTACTTTTACTTTTCTCACCTTTTACACTTCCAATGAAAAAGGTTATGTTATTCTGTTTGACGTATACGTGTACTGATCAACTTGACGTTTCAAATACGAAACGTTTAATAACGTTCAACATTTAAGCACGCATCTCCGTCGCACTTCTACTCAAATTGCTGTAAATGTTTATACAAACTATCTACTTGTTACTGTTCTATCAGGTAATACGATGATAGACGAAATTTTAAGGTTATCACGTGTAAACTTGTAAACTTCAAAAAGAACGTGTATACGTATGTATATATCAACATATTTATATCGATGGAACATAAATCTCACTAACAGATGCTCTTAATGATTAGATGAATAGAAAGCAGTATTATATAAAAAGGATATATATACAGTTGTCATTTATAATACTAATAAATAAATAAAAAAAAAATATATATATATATATATATAAACTAAATGCATGATACAGACGATAAGAACACAATCAATAAAATAGGTAGTGTAATGTAACCGATTTTAGATTTCTCATCCGTTTAATTATCATCTAGTCTATTTAATATTATTCATCGACTAAACTTTGATATTAACTGTGAATTAATAGCTATCAGTCACTAAAAATAAAAAGTTGGTAGTTTTCCTTTTATTTGTACTTATTTCTCTGCTTTCAATTGTCGTTCTGTTATGTAATTAACGCAACAATCTCTGAAATATATTTACGTATTTATGTGGTGTGTGTTACGCATTTTACTTAGTTCCACCAGTTTATTTATTTCTCTTTGTAATTTATTGAGAGTTGCGAAGTAAATCAAAGAATCTGATTCGACATCTATGGAAAATATTTGTTTACACGGAACAAATATCCGTGGATATTACGCTCGAAATTCGTGGTTTTCCAATGCGTCCTGCAAGTTCTTCAACTTTCAATTAAATACAGTGAATCAAAAAACTATCGACACATCTAACTTTTTTGCGATACTTTGTGAAAACAAGTGATGTATTATCTGTTTTCATAAGTAGTTTACTACGTACAAACGTAATGTGCATAGTGGCAATTTCAGTAGTACAAGAAATATAAAAATTCGAGAGTCAAAAAAGTATTAACATCGCCTGTAATTCCTGAATCGACGTTATAATGGTACTATATTTAACGTTAGAAGAGCTGCGAAATATCCTTTTACAAGTACTGGAATGTTATCGAATGACATCACGTCAAAATCACGCGAAAGGAAGCGATTGTCTCTTCAATGAATCATTGGAAATATTTCATATCCTGCTCAAATAATAATAGTATAGCTGCAAGGAAATAAACATCTCGTAAATTATAAGAAATTTAATTCAATTGAAGCAAGATTTGTTCGTGCAAATTTTTTTTCCTTGCAGCTCTGCGATATCATTCCAGTACTTATAGAAGGATGTTTTGCAGCTTCTTTTTTTTTTAATAACATTTCGCCATTAAATGTAGATTAAGCAATGGAATTACAGGTGTGTTACAATATTTTCTTGATCCACTGTATATCGTGTTTGTTGCAAATAATGCGTCAATGATGAATTGCCAACTTTTATGTAGTTCTGAAAATACAGCAGACTGTTTCTTTATTTTTACGATAGTGCGAACTTTTAAAATAAATGGTGTAAGTAAATTACGGTACTTTCCTATTATAGATAAGAGATACATTCAAATATAGTAGATTAGAGATACATCCAATGAGCTGTATTATGCGTGTTTGTTTACATTCAAACGTACACTTGATCTTCGGTTACAGATTCATTATCAATTTACACACAGTATATTCATCGCTGGCGTTTTTTTCCGTTGTAAAGTTACGTACGTTCGCACAAAAAATTTTCGGATGAGTTTTATTTTAATTTTAAGTTTGGAAACACGAGTGCACGGACAGATGTGGCGTAACATATACACAGGCGTGTACGTATACATGTATGTATACGTAATCGCGTGTATACGTACACAGATTAATAAGCACTCGTACAGACTTATGTATGTATCACCCCGTTGCTCGTTTCGTCTACAGTCTACGATAGTTCCGTAGTTTTTGCTCGCGCATACTGCACACTTTTGTTTTTATATCGCAAGATTCATTCCCGCAATGTTAACTTAAAGCTATCGTTAACGTTATTTCGATCATTGCACAAAATAACCCTAAACTATTTTGTACAAGTATAATATATATATATATATATATATATATATATATATAATTCTATACGCAAATTTGGTTTCATTAGAATAGAATACTAAAGGATTCTACTTGACTAGTTTTATGCATCACTATGTTGGTTTCGATCGCGGATTTGCAACTGTTTGGAAAAATCGCGTTATCGAGAAGTGCAAGACAAATACGCGTGATTATATGTAATCTAGCTGTAACATTCTCTTCGAATACTTGTTCATTCGTACACGTTGTTTCGTCGCTTAAATCTTGATGATGAAAAATTTATCAACCAATCGAAGAAGGTTTGCTTATATTGACAAGTGGCATAAATCGCGATCTCTTCTATCTTTCTTCTATTCTTGATACAAGCGGTTCGCTAATACGTTACACATCCATGAAACGGTAATTCGGACAAGATATACAATTGCTCGAGAATATAATTGTTACTTTAATGTTTTACGATTCTCTCTTGCTATCTCTTGTTGATTTTAATGTGGTGGTTTTTCAAAGAGTAAATACCGTCACCTTGATAACTCATGAAAATTTGAATCTACGAAACTACTGTTTAAAACATGTACCATGTAATATTGATTTCAATCGTCTACGTACGTTTCTTTTGTACGAAAAATATCATGGAAATGTTTGCTCAATTGGTAAAAGTTACATATGTTATTGGCTTTATACATAAATTTCTCTTTACACTGGATGCATAATCGATAAGAGCGTACTTAAAACAGTCTCTTCTTAGATTGAAGAGAAACCAAAATTTTGCAATGTAGTTTCTTGCGAAGTGCAGATAATGAAAATTTGGGACAGCAGGAAATTAGGAAATAAGAAGAAGTGTCTGTAGAAATGACTGTACGTAAGACAACAAAAGGTGAGAAAAGTGGGAAGACGGTTAAGAGAAGAATGAGGGACAAGGAGGAGAAATAAGAATAGAGAAGAAACAGTGGTGAATGTAGAGGATAGGGAGAGCGACGGCAACGAGAGAAACTTCTTTTTGAAACAATAAGTCGTTCCGCGATCTCTAATTAATTGCATCTAACGTGCATCTATCCGATAAATATTTAGTGAGCTTTATCGTATCGTCTCGTACGTTTGTAGACTAGGAAGTATATTCTTTGAAGCACCACCAATGCGTATAATTTTTGTAACAGAGCCTTACAGCTGAATGAAATACACACTTGCGAATAATCTAGAAAAATTATTAACTTATTTGACGGAACTTGAAACATTCCATCGCGTTCCTTCTTCAAGATATATTCAGTTTTCCTTAGCATTTAACGTCTTTACCAAAATTGTTTTACCTAAGAAAGCAATGGTTTCTCGCGCGATACGATCTTTCCCACCTTTCCCTCTCTTTCCTTTCCTTTTCCCTATGGAAAAGTTAATAACCCTTACGCAACACCTTGGATCAAATCGTCGTACAATCAATATTCTTCCCTTCTCTCGCACAGAAAGAAAGAAAGATTCCACAGATTTGAACGAGCAGATCGCAAAGCTTCTATCGATCGTTGATACAAACAGATACCTGAATACGCCTTCGTAGATAGTATATCTCACCATTCTTTGCTGATTATTGTCCCGTCTGATATAGGTCGAAATCTACGGCATCTGCAACGAATTGAAACGAATTTGTAAACGAATTACAACTATATAATAATAATAATAATAGGACAATAAATAATAATCAAACACAATTTGTTGTATACACAATTATGTAAAGCATCACCGCAGTCGCTTAAATACCTAGCATTATTTTCTGCAACGTGAGGAGGCAGAGATGTAGGTGGTGGCGGAGGTTGAGCATTTGGTGGACCACTGTTGTCAGAGTCATTGTCGCTGCTCTCGTCGGTACGTTTAGCTGTCTCTCCTAAAAGATGCGAGGGCACTCCTCTAGGAGAAAATTTGGATAATACTTCAGAATGGGACCTGATCCTGCGCTGCGGTCTTTGAAATCGCAGGTTCAATTGGCTTGCGTCGGTCACGTATTTTTCGCTTTGCCTTCGGCGACGTAACGCAGGAGTACATCCAGTTAGATTTTCATCTTCTGTCGAATTAGCCGATGTTAAAGATGAAAAGATCGATGGTTCATCGGGTAATGCCAAGCAGCGTCTCAATACCTCCACTGTCAAGCGTTTGCCTTTGACAGCTAAAATTTGGCAATATTAGTATCGCTAAGAAGCTATACCCAATCTTAATCGCGATAAATTGCCGTCCAAAACACGAAAAATGCAATTTTTCATTCTCTTTCCCTCCCTTCTCGTCTCTCGATTACTCGAGACGATCAAAATCTGTTTTCATTTAATAGCGCGTATATATATATGTATGTATATACTCTTGGAATCTTCAACACATGATCTATCAAACAACAGATATGTGAGTGTGTGTGTGTGTCACATACACGCATACGTGCACGCACGCGCATGTCATAGAAGTGTTCAAAGAAAGGAGAGGAATATGTATGTAGTAGTTGAACGAAAGATGTGCGATTTTCCAACGATAGTGTGTCTCTGTAGACTGCGAGTGTCTTTAACCGGGGAGCTACTTTTGAGCGTAAGAGGGGAAGCAAAAAAGAGGCAATCAAACAATTCGCAACAAGTTGAGTACAACGATGACTTTTAAACTACGATTAAATACGATTATAAACATTTTTCCTTACGACCACTTACTTTTTTTCTTTTTTTTTTTTTTCATTGTAATCTCTTTGAATTGCTTTGAGATGCTTTTCGATCCTTTGTTGAAGTTGTGTGTTCAAAAAAATCACGTCACGTCGTATGTAAACTAAATACGAATCAGAAATTGAACGATGCCTTTTCCGTTTTAAGCAATTTTCACCGTTCGTTTATTATCAATCGCAAAAAGAATGTTAAACTCGTAAAGAGCGTTAGACTCGTCAGACTCATACTCAATCGAATCCATACAGTGTTAAACGTCGCACGTGAGGTCGGAAAGATAGGATCATAAATAAATACAGTGTAAGCTAAAAAAAAAAAAAAATCTTACTAACTAGCATCTTTTTCCCGGGTTATAGCCGCAGGTGTAGACGACTTTTCTACTTCGTTTCCCACGCCACTTCTGATATTTTGCGTATTTTGCGTATCTGGCGTCGACTCCGATAATGAACATCTCGGGCTTTTAACCGGAATTGGAATTTTACTGACGGTGTTGTAAGTCCTGTTGGATGCCTCCTTTTCTTTGTCCTCCTTATATTCACGAAGTGGTAGCACGTTCGGTATAGTAGTCGAGGCAGTGATAGGGCTGTTTTCCTTATGCACGGCATCATCGCCAGGCGCTCGATTTTCAACCGCATCATCGTATATTGACGGTTCTTCCCTTTCCGGATTGGGACTAGCCGGACTATCTACTGTACCGTTTGTCATTTTTCCTATAAAATCGCATTAAATGAAAATCAAAAAGACGGTAGCGATATGAAATGTATGATAATGGCTACAATAGAAACGTGTCACAATATCTCCATTACCACCGTCATCATCAACAGCAACACAACAGCAGTAGCGGTAGCAGCAGCAATAGCAATAACCACAATCAGCAGCAACAAGTAAAATACAACAACAGAAACAACAATGATGACAACGACGACGACGACGACGGCGACAACAACAAACAAACAAACAAACAAACAAACAAACAACAACGACGACGACGACGACGACGGCGACTAAGATGATGACGCCAATAACAACAACAGTGATCTCATTGAACTTGAATCTTTTAGAAATTTCGAGGCAAGATAGACTGTACTAAATTGAAGCGTTTGTATTTACTTTGCAATGGTTCTCTGTCCGCGGTGGTTTGTACAACTGTAGCACCACCTGTTGCATCAACTACTCTAATCTCTAGTCTTCCTGCCACTGCTTCTTCTTCTTCTTCACCGCCGGGTGTGCTGGGTATTGTGTTGGGTGGTGAGAAAGCGACTGCTGGTACACTAGCCCTTCGTGGCGGAGGGCTTTGCCTCGGTTCGTCGTGACGCGTTGCTACATTTCTCATGACGTCAACCTCGTACAACAAATCATCGAATGCAGCTTGCTGAACCTGTCGATGAAAAATGATACGTGTGCGATATTGTTCTCGAGGAAATGTTCCAAAGTTCGTAGTACAAAGATGAAGCAATTACCTACCAATGGTGCTTCGAGGTACGCGCGAACGTGCGACGCTAACGCAGGAACGCTCCAAGCTCGCGGAAGAGCGCCTTGAAGATCTGGATATTTCTCGATGCCAGCAATGTTTAAACACCTGTGAGGCGCCACGGGCTTGGTGGAATCCTCACTTATTCGCGAGAGGGCAGTTGGTATTATTGAATGTTGAGGTGCGATCGAATGAATGGTCGATTGAGCCACTGTCGTTTTCGCATCAATAGATGCAGGCACTGAAGTTGCGACGGTCACAGCGTCACTACCAACTGTTGACTGTGTATGGAAATTTTATGAAACCAAGTCAAAACTCGTGCGTCTTATCTCGTATTCGTTGCTCGAGTCAAATGAAGAAAAAAAAAAAAAAAATGTATAAGAGACAATGTGGACATAACGATTGAACACGCACATCATCTTTTCATCAACCGTATCTTTTAATCTATTCTAATACAACATATATAAAACATGCGTGTCTAATTGTCTAAAAAACGTGTGTGTCCCGTTAAGTTTTCTTGCCGATGCGCAGGGTAACATGTCGCAGATTCGACAGAACTAGGTGGCGATACAATAATTAATGTCTAATCAAAAGCACAAATTGAGGACAAAAATAGAAACAAGAACACGGAACATAGAAAGATATGTAAAGCTCGAAACGGTGATAGATAAAGAACTCTCGATTTGATTCTGTAGCAGGTAACAGGCGCATCAAAAGGGGACATCGCTACAGGCCAGACGTGGCTAGAATATCAATATACACGCGCATTTTTAAATGATTGAATTAACTTAAAAACAAAGAAATTATGCATATAACTGCTCTATATATATATATATATATATATATATATACACACACAGGTGAAAGAGAGATAAAAAGTTAAAGGTGAAAGACTATTAACGCAATAAAATTAAAGCAATATTGTAAATTGAAACTTTTTATCTTTATGATATAAAACTTGACGAAAAAAACTAGAGTGTCTGCTAGATTCGTAATTGATGATAGCACAATGATATATTTGAAATACGGTTACCTGTGCAACCATAACTGGCATGTTGGTGCCCTTATGCTCGGGGCTTTGTAAATTCTCTCCTTTCCATTCGTTGTCAGTCTCTTCGGAATCGTCAAATTGTGATTTCCACTGGGAAGCGAGAGTCAAACCACCACCACCTTTAGTTACTTGCTGCAATGCCGATACATTGTCGTCATCTATCTGCGCGAATTGAGTAATGGAACAGTCTCTTATCGCAGCGCGATTAGTTCTTGCCTGTTGGCGTCCATCCGTCCTTCTTCGCGGTTCTCTTTTCAGTGGTTCTCTTTGTTCCGTAACCTGTGTGTGCGTGTGCGTGTGCGTGTGCGTGTGTGTAAAGAAGTAGAAACAAGTTCTTTTTCGTTATTGTTCATTGTATGTAACGCACAATCGGACTTTATACATACGGGACTCTGATTGCCAACGTATTTCGGATTGGTAACGTCGTAGGAACAGTAAGAGGCATCGACTTCGGTTTGTACACGAGGACTAGGAGGTTCGCCAGCCGTTGCTTCCGGTCCAGACGTTACTCGTAATCGAGCAAATGTTGCGCCACTTGCAGATTTCCTTAATGGCGCTGCGGCATTAGCTCCAATTTTATTGCGAGGAACTTCTGAAGCAGAACGAGCGGATGCCATTAAAGCGTCTCCTTCGTTATCTACCACGCCTGTTTGCGGTTCTGCTGCCATCGAGACTGCACGCCTCTTTTTAGGCGAGTCTGTAGAAATAAATTGATAAAGGATACACGTGAACCGACATGACAAACTTTCCAAGAAGTTAAATCTCATTTTGAAACTAGTAACCTTGAGCTTGCTGCCCTTGAGTTTGTTGATGAGTATTGTCCACCGTAGGTATCGTGGCGTTGCAATTTTTATCTCGACCATGATTGCTGATTGCTGATGTAAACGGCACCGAGGATCCTTCTACTCCGCGTTGTTTGTTTCTTCTACATATACTGTCATAATCCATTTGTGCCTGCAAAAGATACGACAGATATACATTTGAAATATACATTTGAACGTGAGTTGTCTAACGTGGCCTGATAGTAACGTCCGATAATACGTTACGTATCCAGTTCCTTACGTCTAATTCCTTTCTGTTGTCGGGCTCAACGTTCTCCTGATTATTCGTATCGACATTTGGCGTGGTTGGCGCTTGATTGATCGTAGTAGCTGTGGTCAGTACAGGAGGCATGGCAACCTGATAGTTACTAGGTAGAGATCTGGTGGTTGGTAAACTTTCGTTCGTTATAAACGGTCTCTCCCAATCGTAGGGATCAGTAGCTTTCACTCCTCTACGTTTCAAGCAACGTTCGAATAAACCTGCCAGCATTGCGTAATCCGGTTTGTCCGAGTATCCCAAACTCTGAAAACAATGTTCCATTGGTTGTCGTTGTATCATTTAACGAGCATTGGATTATCACTGGACATGATTCAAACAGAATGGAAATAGACTGCAGTTTGTTAGGGCAAAAACGTGTAATAGATGAGAGCCGCGTACCTGAATATGTTCCAAAAAGACACGGAGATCCGCTGGAAGATGTTTTAAAAGCAAACGATGATCGTACTTTTCTTTCATGAGACCCACCTAGACGAAGAAACGAGAGATGGATGAAACGTGGAAGGGAGGAAGGGAAGGAAGGAAGGAAGAAGGGAGGACGGGAGAAAGACAAGGAGGAAAAGAGAGAAAAGGGAAAACGATACATTAAAGTTTAGGCGAGATCACTTTTTCACGATGAAGAAGACGCATATCGGACGATTAAACCAAGAATACTTGCAACATCTGTGTACCTGTTCTTTATCCTTTATTTTTCGCCATGGAAGTTGTCCGTTAACAAATTCTACCAGCATGTAAAACAACGACCACAAATCGTCGTGCCTGCCCATCTCTTTATTTTTGTGCGCATTCACTGATGCGTACCGGACGGTTCCTCTGAATCCTGCCGCGCTACGAGGTGGTCTAACTTCACCGGTGCCCGTTGTAAATTGCCGAGCCAGGCCAAAGTCTAACATGTAAACCAACTTGGATGTATGCGGAAGTCGTCCCATTGAAAAGTTTGACTGCAAATACAATATCGGTTGTAAAGAAACAATATTAAACAGGACAAGAGGAAAAGCACGTTTGTCCATGTGCAACGGGAAAGGAGAAGGAAAAGGAGATGGAAATCACTGCGTACATACACATACAGTTTGGAAATTCTCAATCTCGAAAGCGAAACGAAAAGAGTTGAAGGTAAGGAAGGAACGGTGAGAGTAGCCTCTTTGAGAATAGAGTAGCTCGCTGTTCTCGGAATGTACTGTACAGAGAATGTAAATGTCGGAAAATAAAAATGAAGACAAACTTACAGGTTTGATATCTCTGTGAAGGAAGCCTACTTGATGTATGCTTTCGATCGCTTTGAGAATTTGGAGTCCTAAACGCAGAGTGGTGGACAATGAGAAAGCACCTCGTGGCTGAGCGCGCCGTAATTCTGCCAAATTTTTTCCTTGTAACTGCATTACGACATAGTTGAATCTGTCGTTACGGCCACAACCTATAAACCTGCACACATGTTCTCGGCCTGCAATGGGGAATGGCAAGCGTTCATCGACAAAAATAAGAGTGATATTTACCTTGAATATTATAGTTTCATGGGGGAAAGGGTGGAACCCTGCATTTACGCTAAATCATTTGCTACGTGATATAAGATTATGGAACGAACCCTGAAGTTTTTTCAATACCGCTACTTCCATCTTAAGAACCTGCTTCGACTGACGTGCCGACTCAACTTTCAATGCGACTTGCTCTCTGGTCATCAAGTCTAGTCCTTCGTAAATTTCACCAAATCCACCGCCTCCTATTCTCCTGACCTGTGGAAAGTATACGACACCTGACCTGAGCGGTTGCAGGAGTGATTGTTTGAAACATTAACACAAAGGGGCAGAATAGCGGAAGAATAGATGTGAAAGATGAGATAATGAGCTTGAGAGAGAGACAGAAAATGTGAAAGAGAGAGACTGGAAACTCACGACTTTCCACCGTTCTTTGACCACATGGCCAGGTTGCAGCAAATCCTCGCTCATCATAGTTATATTGTTGTTCTGATCTGTGCTTTCGTCGCCTACATTCCTTGGCTGCAACGTCGTCGAATGATCGTCGGGATGCCTAGAAATCGCAAGCGAATCCTGTTACGAGATTCGTTAAAAATTAAAAAGAATATTCGCATGCTGCTGGTCGATGTTTCGGTGGCCTTCTGTATTAGCCACTGGCCGATAACGCGAGAAGCACGACGATGCGAATCGAGCAAGCACGATAATAGGTACGAAAATAGGTGAGACTGAAGGAAAATCAAGATGAATCGCGGTGTGATGCGAGTAAGCTGAATGCGAAACGAACGATTCGACGTAGCGAACTTTACAGCTGTCAATGCGAGACAAACGACACACCCTGTGGCTGTAACAGGTTAGGTTTTTAACCTAAGGCATATTGTAGTATAAAATTGGTCGATACTGAGCGCCCCGTGCTAGGCAGCCATGATTACGCGCGAGCGAAGGGTGCAGCGGGTATGAAGGGGGCGATTGTCTGCTGTCTCTACCTATCACGGTTTTTCAACCACGTTTTCAATCGCGTTCGACCCGTCACACCTACTGTCACCTACTGTTCGGTTCCTTCTCTCTGCTTATCCTTGTCCCGAATTGCTCCTCCGTTTTATATTATGTATTTGCCACCGCGTTGCAACGCGTCGGCCGCCGCCAGTCGATTCTCTCCGAGTCGAATCTTTTACTCTATTCTAAGTTGGATTGACTATTATTACGAACGGAGCCGAACGAGGCCGAGGCTAGCGATCATAAACCAAAGAGAGAGGAGGCGCAGCTAAGGGGAAAAAGAAATACGTCTAAAATCTAGCTTTGCCTCCTTCATTTTGGAGAACTGTGGCCGCGCGGAATATGCTCTGTCCTGTACCATTGGCATTGTCGTTTATCATTTTCTACGATTCAACGCGCGATCTGTCTAACAACGCGCACCGACTAATCCACCAACCAATCCAAAAGAGTACTTTATTTATCGGTACTTTATTTAATTCCACTAACAATCGTCGTCGTTTTCCGACAAATCGTAGACGACGTTTTTTCTGCACAATCCAAACTCGGTTCTCGGTCAGTGCGCCGTTTCACACGCTCCCGCACTTCCCGTTTCCATCCTCCCTCCTTTCCCCCTTTTTCTCTACTGCTTCTATCTCCTCCCCTTCCCACTTTCTGTCTCTCCCTCTTTCTCCGGCTCCTATATTTTCCACCTCACCCTTTCTCCTATTCACCCCCTTTCTTTCTCTCTTTCCTTCTTTCTTTCTTTCTTTCTTTCTTTCTTTCTTTCCCTCGTTCCTTCGTTCCTTCCTTCACCCTCACTCTCACCCTCCTCCCTCGCTCTCACCCTACCCCGCCCCGCTAATCCTTCCTCCTGGCTCTTCCTCCGGCACTCGAACGCGGCTCTTCGATCCTTCCTAATTCTCCTTCGTCCCTCCTTTCTCCTATTCCACTGCTCCCTTTACCCTTGCGATCACTTTCTTTCACCACCAATGTCAAACACATCGGATATGTTCATCAATGCTCTACTACTAGATCCCGTCAAACACCGATGGAACGGCCATTTTTCGATTTCGTACCACGGCATTCGTAATGCTTGTAAACGCCGCGAGATAGCGACCTGAATGCTCGATCGATCTTGGCCGTTCTATCTTTTCCCTCTATGATTTCAAACTATGGTTTCGCGTTTCGCCTGTTTCGCCTGTTTCGCCTGTTTCGCGTGTTTCGCGTGTTTCGCCGTTCAATCATTCGCAACTGAATCCGAATCCTTGTCTTCTTCTTCTTCTTCTTCTTCTTCTTCTCTCTCTCTCTTTCTCTGCTTCCTTTCTTTCTTTTTTCTTTTCCCCCCTCCTTTCTTTCGCTCTTTCGTAAAAATTCACCGTTTCCTATTCTATTCTACGCACGTTCTATTTTTATTGTACACCGTGTGTTACAAAACAGCGCCCACCGTAAAGAGTTATCGTTAACATTTTCGCGTGTCCAACACGTTACACATGTACGCGTATCGTAGCTAGCTGCGATTATTTATTCATCGCTCCGCGTTTTTACGGCTGCGCACATTACTACGGCAAACGGCATCTATCTATTAGAGTGCTTCGAATCTCTTTGAATGGCGTGCAAAACGAATAACGAATAATGAATAATGAAGGTACAAAGATATTTCTACAGTAGTAAAAAAAAAAAAAAAAAAGAAAAGGTAAATGCCTCCTCCATTTATTTAAACAAATGTCAACGAATCCATGAAATTTTCATGTCTTTTTTTTTTTTTTTGTATAGCACGATGCTTGCTAGCATACTCGTGCATACTTTGTATTTCATCATTATTATTGTACTGTTAAATTAAACGTACACGACGTGTACATCTTCTGGAACGATCCCAACGAAACAAAAGCACTTGTTAGACGTAGGAACTTTAAACGTACGAGAACAATTTTCAGCGACAATGTAGTTGAAAAAAAAAGAAAAGAAAAGAAAAGAAAAGAAAAGAAAGAAGAAACGAAAGCAGTTACACAGTCGTCGTCGTTGTTACACGTGAATTGCAACAAAACACTTACACTTCGTATCGATCGCCCATTATTTTCGAGTTTTTTCGAAAACTATCCAAGTATTTTCCACCTTTCGAAATAAGCCTGCCTCTTCCGCCGACTATATGTCTACTTGTACATGTATACGTATATTTATGAACGTTTGCGAACGTTTACGTTTACACAAACAAAGTGTATGGAAGTAAATATTTGCTTCGTTACACATTGTTAATACTCTTTTCGCGACATGTAATGACAAATTCAAATTCCTCTCGGCAACCACGTTTTTGGGGGTGAACCACGTTTAGCGTGTGAAAGCGGTTAACCAATCGACGTCCATTTGTAGCCGTAAATCGGCCGATCGAGTCAACTACTGCTGCCACCATTTATATTTGAAAACGATAACGAAAAAGAAATTATTCTCGTCTGTAAATCGTCTGTAAGAGCTTAAACATGATACAAGTCAGTTGGCGGCATTGATTGATGTAATGACACGACACATGTATATAGTTAAGAATTGGTCCAGATAACATACCTGAACAACGACACGATCGAACCGCGCGCGTGCGAATTTATTGTTAGTCACGCAGAAGCCGTGCATTTCTCGCATGTTTGCGAACGAATGTCATGCTCAAGGTAAAAATTCTTCTTTCATTCGGGTCGAGTGTTAAAATGTCTGCCGTTTAAAAAAAAAAAAAAAAAAAAAAAAAACGGCAACACGTGCGTATGTTGTTGGAAATTGAGAAATTTCGTCGGCAGAAGGATTTTAAATTTTAGGAGGGGTAAACACGGCACGCGCGAGGAATTCGCCTGATCAACGTTCGACCGTATTCTTCGTGCGTGTTTAATAAAAATCGAGCAATGAAATTTCGAAATGCTCAAATTATACTAACTCCATTCGCCAGAGGGCATAATTTAAGTTTAAACATCTATTTTTAAACGACCCCACTCTGCATGTATATGAAACGCGATGTAGCATCTTTCAACGCGCCAAGATATTTTTTTTGCAAGCGGCTTTGCTTATAAATTTCAGTCAATGTCAGCCTCGAGCATTTCTTTCGCTTGCGATCGCTCCTCTTTGTCGCTTCTTCTTACGACGAACGTGTTTCAGTTTTAAAAAACTTGCGCATTTTGTTTTGTTCAGGTGCGTACGCGCGTACTCGTGTATGTGCTACGCAAGTATACATATAGACGTATGCGTAATACAAATATACGTTCGTGTGTATATATATATATTTGTTCAAAAATTCAAAAAGTATGTATGGTAATTTGCATGTAAGGTTGTTTTCGCATGCACGCACGCACGCACGCACATGCATACGTACAAAAAGGTGAAATTAAGTGGCGGATTACATGTGTATATGTATAGAATAGGAACATACAGGTTCCCCAGCTCCTGCTGGAAACAAGAAACAAAGAAAGGACAGAGGATCGAGCGTGTGAGGTCGAATCGAATTGGGGTGCATCTCGTAGAGAGATAATCACATACCACTTCATAGTTTCAAGTAACGACAAAGCGCATAAAGATCGTTGGAATGTTGGTTACACAAAGACGCCGGCGACGTCGAGTAGCAGAATGATTACGATGATGTTTGCCCGTAACGGACGGTGGTGGCAACGATAACGGCAGATATGGCAAATAAGCGGCAGATAATGGCAAATCGGTATGGTCGGTCGGTATGCGAGATTCGAACACTAGAAACGAACGTGAGATTCAATCGACTCCTCGGATGGAATCGGCGAGAACGTGACGCGATTTCTGGTAAATTGCTCCGCGATGTTCTTTCATCTAGGGCACGAGTCAGCGAACGAATGAAATTCGCCGCCGCGATCTAGATAACGCCGTGAGATTCGTTGGCGAACCGGTGGCTCAAGTTCTCCGACTAGCGAGTTAGAGCCAGAAAGCGAATCGTCGCGTTCCACTGGCATTGGACGCACACACACACACACACACACACATACACACACTCTGACACGACCACGCATGATGTTCCTTTTCTTCCATCATCGCCTCCTTCTCTTCTCGATCTTCCCTACCTTTCATCTCCTACCGTTCACCCTGGTCACCGTGTCTTACCTACTTTACACGCACACGTATGTATCTACCTAGTACCTAACCAACTACCTACACACGTATGTACATATGCATATTTCCCGTGCGGTGGCCCCCTACGTAACCGCGCGCTTTGAACCGAACCGACTGCCGATGCTGGACGCTGTCGTCTCCACTGTTACATGCCCATTTTGCCCTATCCCGTATATATTCTATACCCTCTTTCTTCTTCTTCTTCTTCTTCTTCTTCTTCTTCTTTTTTTTTCTTTTCTTTTTCTAATCACAATTTTATATCTATACTTGCGAAACATTCCATGTCACGAATTCCATAATATCGAATGATACGTAATTTTAATTTATTTTTAATCAGTTCCCGATATGTATGCTATAAACTGTGCACATTTACATACATACATACATACTGAGGCTGGACGCTGTTTATGCTTATTCCTTTATTCTCTTAAATAAGTAAGCGACAACGATCGTAGAAAAAATAGTTAATTTGCAAAAGTGAACGTAACGCGACACTGCCGATCCACTACTTTGTTCGTTTCACTTGCCGTGACAAATTGGAATAGATTTTAGTCGGGAAAATGAGTCGACTTTGCGAGAAAATATACACGGCTATATGTATTTCGCATATTTCGCCTTCACATTTAGAAACGTTGTGTTATTTCGGGTACAGCACTTCGGTACCGAACACGCTCACACGAAATTCACACGATTCTTATATCCAACGAATATTATAACAACCAAGCTTTGCTAGATGTGACCGTCAATGACGATCAACTTGACTCGTCGTGTTTCGTGCACAAAACACGCGTTTTATCTTTTTTTTTTTTTTTTTTCGTCGAAATACGATCCGTTGGAATGATAATTCCATCCCACAATTAGAATCCCATAATTAGAACTTGGAACCGAAAAGAACTACGAGAAAGAAAAAACGGAAAAGATGTCGATCGAGTCTAACGATCATATGTACGTACATTACTGTAAACATATAAGCGCATATACACACGCACACGCGCGTGTACGCGTGCATCAACGAGACGACAATTTCTTCATTTTCTCTACGCAGTTTAATTGTTCTATTATATATATATATATATATATCTTTGAAATCAAGTAAACGAACTAGGCGCGACTATGTTACTATGCCAGAAACGAGAATAGCAACGCGGTCGAACAAAATACCGGAATACCAGACGTTGATTACGGAGAACACCGTTTATGGAACATGCATGGGTTCATACTTGTATCAGCGGTGGTACAATCCGTCAAACCGAATAACGATTTTTACCGTTTCACCTACGTACTTGTATAGTACTTAACGTTTAATGTAAAATGATTCGTGTTACTGTTGTATAGTTACTGTTGTAAGTAGTTCTTCAATCTCTATGTTAATATAAACATAAATTTTACTAAATTTCATTATCTTCCGTTAACTCTTTAACGCTTTTCATTGATTACGAGTGATTACGAATAATTCGCATGTCTAGTTCACGCATTGTCACGTGACGTACATACATATATATATATATATATATATATACGTAATGTGCGAATATAATCTACCTTCTATGTAGAACGATATTTATTGCTCAAAAATTAGTCACTTTCGTTCTTTTTTAATAATATTTTACAAAAGCTGTCAGAGAAATGTCATCTTACCAGCGGCATGTTAATCTGATGCGTGTTCGTTTAGATAAGTTCAATGTAATGTTATGACGGGTGTGTATATTTGACTTTTCGTGTTTTGTTCCTTTTCCTTTGTTTCCGTACAAAATAACTCGTATGATTTCCTAAAGACGTAGATCTGTGCGACGTATACGTTGCAAGATAAGTTCAAACGAATTAAACTTCAACGATTGGAACCTTTCTTATTGCCAGACGAATAATTATTATAATGCGCCTAGTTCACAAGGTTCTCAGAGGTCGCTGTGTTCGCCGACCTTGCTTTGACTTTGCCAAGCCAAAGCACGACGACGTCAGGGGATACTCGAAAACTGTTCAGAGTTTTGTCAGTAACTACAGCGCTAAACAAAGTGGATTAAAATTGAAAAACGATAATAACGGTTTCCCTGTTATATGTAACATTGTATCAAATTCAACGTGCTCAAAATTCAAAGGCATGGCACTAAACAAGCTCAGTATCGATAAAGTGGATCTTACGGATAAACGAGTTCTCATACGGTATAACATTCCTTTCAGCGTTTAAGTAAAGCGTTTCATTTTTCCTGTGGACTGGCATTTACACGAAATGCGTAACTTTATCGAATAACGTGTCGAGGTTAAATTACTGTTTAATCGTGCTTAACAGTACTTGTAAAGAGTAATTTTATTTCCTTGCAGCGTGGATTTCAATGTACCTTTGAAGGAAGGTAAAATCACCAACAACCAGAGAATTGTTGCTGCTCTGGACACGGTCAAATATGCTCTTGAAAAGAAAGCAAAATCTGTTGTTTTAATGTCACATTTGGGACGTCCTGATGGTAAACGGGAAACAAAGTACACTCTGAAGCCTGTTGCGGAAGAATTAAAGTCTTTGCTTGGAAAGGAGATTATATTCTTGAACGACTGTGTCGGACCAGAGGTGGAAACTGCGTGTGCCAATCCAGCATCTGGTTCTATTATCTTACTTGAAAATTTAAGATTTCACATAGAAGAAGAGGGTAAAGGGGTAGGAGCAGATGGAAGCAAAGTAAGTAAATTATATGCTGTTATTGTTCATCTAATAATTTTTATGAGCCAAGGACTATAAACTTTTTCTTTTTTTTGTTTTCCTTGTTCTAGGTAAAAGCAGACAAAGAAAAGGTAGAGGAGTTTAGAAAATCGTTGAGAAAATTGGGAGACGTTTATATTAATGATGCCTTTGGTACAGCCCATCGAGCTCATAGTTCCATGCTTGGTGAAGGATATGAAACGAGAGCAAGTGGTTTTCTTTTAAAAAAAGAGTTAGAATATTTTGCCAAAGCACTGGACAATCCTGAAAGACCATTTTTGGCTATATTAGGCGGTGCCAAAGTTGCAGATAAAATACAATTGATTAATAACTTGCTGGACAAAGTTAATGAGATGATTATAGGTGGTGGAATGGCATATACTTTCCTAAAGATATCGAAAAATATGAAGGTAATTACAGCGTCGTATATAACCTATCGTCCGAAATGTCTAATTTCGAAATGTATAATGTTCTTTCAGATTGGTAATTCATTATTTGACGAAGAAGGCGCAAAAATTGTTAATGATATATTATCGAAAGCTGAGAAAAATAAAGTTCAAATACATTTGCCGATTGATTTCGTTACTGCAGACAAATTTGCAGAAAATGCAGCTGTTGGTGCAGCTGACGTAGAAAATGGTATACCTGATGGCTGGATGGGACTTGATGTTGGACCAAAATCAAGAGACTTATTTAGTGGTAAAGTCTCAATTTAATCTCTACTCATCGTTATCAATACGTATCTTGAAGTTTAGTATATAGTAACAGTGTAAAAAAACTATTCGTCTAACTTTATTTAATTTAATGTACAGAACCTATCAAAAGAGCAAAGACAATCGTATGGAATGGCCCGGCAGGTGTCTTTGAATTTGAAAATTTCAGTAAAGGCACAAAGAATTTAATGGACAATGTTGTAGAAGCAACATCACGAGGTGCTATTACTATAATTGGTGGTGGTGATACAGCCACGTGCGCTGCTAAATGGAAAACTGAAGACAAAGTAAGCCACGTGAGCACCGGTGGTGGTGCAAGCTTAGAACTTCTTGAAGGAAAAGTTTTACCGGGAGTTGCGGCCCTTTCTTCGTTGTAATTTCTAGTCCATTTGATGTCATTTACATCTTTAGATTTTAGTTAGCAACCACACTTGAAAACATGTTGATTTTATCTAATTATCAAATTTTTAGCGTTATAAAGTAAAATAGAATATTTATCGTTCCATATAGATTACCTTTATAATTTATACCGTATCGGTATAATTTACGTATAAAAAATGTTTATGTTACTCTTCTTTTCGTATATGAAATATGCGTATATCGATATTCCTGAATATAAAAAAACATAAAATGTATCTACAATCGAATGAAAACAATAATATTCTAGGAAAATTGTTCCAACACTGTTATTAAAATTGTTAAATTTATCATGTTATCTTTTCGTGCGATGATTTTTCTAATAAAAGCGGTAAACAATATTTAATGAAAATGTGGTAATGTCAAATCATCTGATTGCGAGATTTATACAATGTGTAATTGTATGAAATTGTATAAAATATCGCTTTCAGTATTTAATGATGAAATTGTAAAAGAAAGAAGAATACATATAAAAGAATATAAATGATATAAAACAAAGATTATACACTTGTCATAAACTTCATGTACAAATAATAAAAAATAATATCAATAATAAAATTATACGCATCTTTGCAAATGGAATGGTGTCGTATTATTTTTAAACGCATACAAAAAGTATCTAACGTTGGCGGCAATAGATTATGTATCTATACATGTGTACACGTACGTACAAGCATTACACGAGTAATATATTGTATTAAATATGTATTTCCTATTTTGTGAACCGTTAGCGTTGTAGGTAAGGTAACCAATTTTTCGATACCGAAAGGCCCCAAGTTCAAATCCTGTCCTTCCTTTTGAATCTTCACGAAATTGGTAGAAAGTTGATCCAAAAAAAGATCGACTTTTACGATCAAATCCCAAATAAGAACAAGGAAAGACATAATTCTGCATTACCGGGGGGAGGATCATCTTCAGAGGGACAAAAATAATAATGTTCTCTCCAGAGAGAGAGAGAGAGAGAGAGAGAGAGAGAGAGAGAGAGAAACACTATGCACGTGTGGAGAAATCGTGGAGAATAATTAAAGAGATATCATATATTGCACATAATAGGCGACAATTAAGACAGCATAAATGAGCGAAAAAAAGTACTATCTACAAAATACACTTATATATCCTAACTTCTCTATTACCCCTCAACTTTTTATTTTAAGTAACAATCTCTCGTATTATTGGAAGGATAATTATTAGAATTCATTTACATTAGGCAACAATTTTGCGGAGATTCCATGCTACGTAGTAACGTTGGAATCATAGTTTCGCCTTCAGCACCACTTTGAAAAAGTGTTGTCTGTTCTCCTATCAATTCTTCAGGTAATTGTCCACAAGCTTGTACTTCTTGCATAAGCGATATTATTGTTTCAAAACGCTTCTTTTTCACTTCTTCAGTATCAGAGTCTTTTTCTTTATCGAGTTCGACACACACCTAAAATGAATAATCGTTGAATGAAAATACGATAAAGATACTTTTCCTCCATAGTTATTCCCATTGAAGATAATCACCTGCTGCATTAATTCTAGCTGTTTTGTAAACCTCTGAAGGTCAGTCGACGATATCGTCGTCTTCTTTTCTTCTAACCATTCAGGATATTTATCTACTAATTCTTTCAGTGATGGATAGAAAATTTCTTTTGATAATAATTGCTGTAGCATTTCTTGCACAAATGGTGGAATGGCACCAGGTCCATCTTCCAAGGACGTCAGTCCAAACATTTCAGATAAATCAGCCTCACTCTACAATGTGTTTTCACGAAAGAACGTATTTCAAGATACAAAAGCTTAAATAAAAGAAAGATCCACATGATTTCTGAAACAACTACCTGTAAATTTTCGGATGTTGCAGACAAGTCATTTAACGCTTGTGCAATGGCAGATTGAAAGTCTGTACTCACACTATCTTTATCAAAGATGTCTCCGTCATTTATCGCATTAACATCTCCATGTGCCGTTTTTTGAGAAGAGACTCCTAATTCGCTATCTGTTTCTAATGAGAAAATTTGTTAATAATATCTTTTTTGCGCTTCTCATTCTCAACTATTACCATTTTGAATAAAATTTCGTAGACTTTCCACAAATTGTTCTGCTGCTTGTTTAACAAAATCTGTAGTCCAAGCATCTTCTGAAATATTAGCTGTGTTCTCAGCTGTCGTGGATTCAAAAGCATCTACTTTGCACACATCCTCTTTATCTGACTTTTGTTCTTTGTTGAAGTCTTTCAAAGCACCTGAGTCAATTATACAATGACCACTTTCTAACTTTAATGTAAAACAAATATTTGATACATATTTTTGATAGTTTTTTTTTTTACGTTTAATGTAAAAAGTCTTGCAAAAAGTTGTGTAATAATAGAAACTCAGCATTTTGTCATTGATATCATCATAAAAAAAAACACTTCTCCCGTTTGCTTTCTTTTTTTAACTTGGTCAACAAAATTTACACTTTTCTACGTAAAGTTGTAAGAAAATTTATCCAATGAACGTGTCAAATAAACGGAAAAAGGTAAAAGTAGACATTTACGTAATTGGGGTTAGAATTTTTTAATTATGTTTACTCCTATCATAAATCCTTTGTAACGTTGTAATTACTCACTCTCTAATAAATCGTTTAATTCTTGATCTTCTGTTTGTTTTGTTGAGTTTTCGTCAGCCATGTCTATCGTTTTGCAAACCTTCAAATCGCTATATCATATGACAGTACGTCCAACGGAACGTTACGCTTTATCATCCTTGATGTCCCATTTATGTATCTTGCGTCAATGTGCACGAGCATAAATGAATTCTTTAATCTTTGAAATAATCAAAGGTCGATTGCGATCTTAAAACAACGATCTATTCTTTTTTATTCTTTCTTTTCTACTTATTTACAGCTAAATTTATAAAAAAAAAAAAAAATATGTAACATTCCTTATATACGATAATTTTTACGATCTATTATTAAAAGTCTTAAAAGTAGAAGTTTGAACAATAGAAACTACCAACTTTATTAACTTTATTACGTATTGCGTTTGTTTTTCTCAATAGCATTGATAGCTAACTAGGTTTTAATGCTTAGCGATTCTTATTTTTCATACGTTATAAAAGACATAATGTAACAATCTTCTCGGTCGTTTATAATAATTTTTTCAAGAGGGCAACATATTTACATTCAAATCAAAAGAATTTCATTCTCGAAATAGAAAATAAAAATATATATATATATAAAAAATATGAGTAATATAAACAAAATACATTTATTTTATTTGTGACTCTCATAATGTTTGTTAATATACAAATTTAATATAAATAAAGGAAATCTGGCGTTATACAAACTACAATTATCTTTCTTGATTTGTATCTTGATCAGAGAAAACTTTCTTCAATACCCGATAACATACATCTATCTGATCGAAATTTTCTTCTTGTTTTAAATCCTTTATGTAACGCTCGAGCGTGGATCGTAAGCCAAGTTCTGATCGTCGACATTCTTTTAAAGCGGGAGCGAAATCATCATTGGTCAGACCATCGAGAATATTTAGTAGTTGATCCCTGAAAGATAATTGAAATTTGATTAAGTTAGACAAAAAATGATGAATATAAAACAATACCTTATCTCTGGAAGCAAATCACCGATGGCCAGTAAACCTGTTGCTTGCTCGATCAAGCCCATATTTACTAAGCTCAATTTTAAATTATTTACATTCTCTTTGTTACACAGAGATGACAAGAGAAATGCAGATTTGATTTGTAGTTTTTTTATTGGGCTCTGCATAGCTCTTAAGAGGACAGAATATCCATCGTTTAAATCCATGTATGTCAATGATATTGGATGCTCTCGAACTATACCTATATCATATTTGTTATAAATGAATATGAGTATATACAAGTATCAATAGAACAAATAAATATGGCTGCTATTTAAATAAAAGTTTGTTACTTACAGGAAACGGCATATAGAGCTTTGATTCTAACAGTTTCTACCGAATCTGTGTCTATCATATTCAATAATGTAGGAAACAAGCCAGTTTCTAGAAACCTCTCTTGGCAAAAAGGATTATTTTGAGCTAGTTCTGCAATCAAATCTGCTGCTCTCCATCTGATGCTGCTATGAGGAGAGTTTAAGCACGGACCAAATATAGAAAAACCTCCTATTTTATAAAAGTCATTAGCAATGTCTATATTATCTACAAAATCTGCAATTCTCTCTAACGCCGATTCTTGTTCTGATGTATCGTCGTCTGGCCGAAGGTCAATTACGTTTGACAAAAGTTTAATACTTTTCTGTAATTCTTCGATTACATTACACGATAACGAGCTAAGTGTTTGCTTCAAAAATTCTTGCCTCTGCAAACAATCGTTTAACTCTAATCAATTTTCTATGGGAATTATTTAGATAATGTTAAAACACATTTATGTTACCAACTTCTTCATCCACAGGTTGAAACTGGGTATTACTGGTTACGTTCTGAGAACTGGTCGCTTCCATGGCAAATCTAAGCAATCCTTGTAAATTTGTTGGTTGCCTAGGTTGGTTTTGTAACGGTTCAAATACTTGCGGATGGGCATTATTCATATCTGATGGTCCTTCAATTGATAGTGGCCGCATGCTGCTGTTCACACGCGGTTGTCCATCTGTATTTTCTCGACTGTCTGAACGTTGAGAACTGAAATAATAACCAAAAATAATCCATAATTACTTTCAGATATAAATTACAAATAAATACGACAGTTTGTAAGAAATCAGTTTTACTTGTCCATTTTGGTCGTGTGCGATGCACCCATTAATCAATTAAATCTGTCTGACACACGTAAACGTTTCGTCGATAAAACAAACGCAAAAGAGCATTATAAAATTCAATTTATATCGATATTAACTGCCTTTCAGATGCAAACTCTAGGAATAAAAATTTTTAAGATACGTGACTCACGTCGAAAACAATTTTGTAACTAGACTGACGGGAATAGGCGCAAATAACTTTGATACACGCGTGAGCGCAAGCGCGTCGAAATTTCAAAAATAAAATATAAATCCTAGAATTGTCAGTTTTTTTATCAATTTATTATGCAACTATTATTATCAGCTTATTAAAATATTGACGATTGTAATTGCAGATTATCAAAAAAAAGTTATACTTCTTCATTGAAACATGTGTATATGGGGTTGAATGTACATGGATATATTCATCTGCTACAATATGGTTGCAACATATATGTACATGTACGTTATTATTTAGAATCAAGTTCAATTTATCAATCGGGAAAGAAAAATTTTATACACTTTATTACATTTTTTTTTCTCTTTTTACACGTTTGTTTCAAAAATATATATTATCGATATGTACAAATTACTTCATTCCGTCCATCTGTGAGAACAATGCTGATTAGTGCACACATAATACAATCTCATTTCTTCTTCTGCACGTCTAGTTTGTGCTTGAAAAAATACAGCTTCTCTGTGGCTACACTTTGGACATGGATGTTCTTCGGTCTTTGGTAAAGTAGGATCTGATATGACATCTGCGACAATGTGCGTCAACTCGCTGAAACCATATAAAAAGAAAGTATGAGTTTGTTTTTATTAAGATTTTACAAACATCAGTCTGTAATCAGTCTGTTAGTGTGTACGTGCATATACGAGTATAAAAATTTCACTTACTCAATTTCGTGCATAATCTTATTTACGTAAATGCAATTGCTGTCAGCAAGTTGTTTGAAATCACAGTTTCTGCACTGGAAAGAATTGGTAGAATTGAAAAAGTCATAGTTTGAACAAGTGAAAAACAAATCACGTACATTTTAATACTTACTGCGTACATTAATACTTTATTCTCTTTATCTTCTTTCGGATACAGCATGTTATTACATTCCTGGCAGAATCTAATCCCGACGAAACCTGGACCATCGTCGTGTGTATCGTAACCGGCTATTTTAGACATGTTTTGCGCGTCCCGTTTCCTTCGTGCAACAAGAGGAACAAAGAAAACAATTAAACGAAAAAAATGTTTATCCAATGTTGTATAGTAGAAAGGACAGTTACCTTTCAATCATAGTATATAGAGTTGAGATCACGCGATCAATCAAAGTATCAGCAAATAATGTCAATTTGTGCGTGTGGTGAGATTTTTTAACGCGTCGCAATGAATGACTAATACAAAGCACTGTATCAAAAATAACTTTGTTACCAGAAAAAGAAAATGTGCGAATAAATCCTGGAGTATTCTTCTGAACCAATTAAAATTCGCGGACGAAAGTAACTAGATAGCAACTTATTTTGATTGGTTACGATGAAATTGGTGATTTTGGTATGAAATATATGATTCAATTATATAGGCGACAATTACACATATATATTGTGGGAATGTATAAATTACACGTTAAAGAAGAAAAAAAAAGACGAAGAATTTAAAAACATGAAGACGTGTATTTGGATATCCCGACTCGGAATTTCGAAGAATATTTCAGCCAATCGTCGTTTGAATGTATTTTAATATTTTGTCGTTGTGCGTTGGGAGTTTGAATCGATGAAGTTGTTGATAACCTAATTTCGTTAAAGTTTATGGAGCGTTCTCATGCGATGGCGCGAACGTGCATAGAGTATAGAGTTTAATTTGGTGGAATGGTGTCTTGTTTTCTAAACTGCTTCGACGGATATGTGACAGTTTGGCTTGTAAAAAATTTTAGCGCCAAGGAAAAACGTAAAGGTTAAGAAAGAAACGAATTTTCCGAGAACGATTACTTCCGATTAGGTTAAAAAGCAACGAACACGTGGTGTCGTTCTTGGAATCATCGGAACAGAATGAGAGACTTTAGATGAAATGAAAAATATTCAGTGATCGAATATGGGGAAGGGTAAAATATAAATATTGGACAGAGATTGTACGGAATGATGAAATTATTGAAATAAATAATTCAGAGAGTGAGCGAGCGAGCAAACGAATATATAGCAAAGGACATATACATAGGTATGTAGTTAAATAATGTATAGGTATATCTAGAGTGTAGGAGAGTTTTAGCAGAGACTCGGGGAGTTTAACGTTCGTAAGAGTTTTCAGGAAAGGCGAGAGATGCGCTAGTGTTCCACTAAGCTACCCCCAGCCTTACTACCCCCACCCTTTCGTTCCAGCTCCCCTAGCTAGTGCAAATCTCGGCGGATGAATGTTTTCTTAAGGGATTCTTCCCGAAAGCGACGCGAAAATCTGAGAGAAATCGAGGGAGCTAAAAATTCGTGAGTGAAATCATTTATTGGGAAATTCGTATTACATTTCGTTGTTTAGATGCGGAAGGTTGATCGGATTTGGTATCGGAAATTAAAAAGAAAGACGAAACTTGTGTTCAAGGCGTTCCTGGGGGGTGATGGCACTCACGCCGACAGCGTCTCCCACAAAGATTTCACCATTTTTCTATTGACAAAAAAATCTTGTAGTTGATCGCGTACATCGGATATTTTTTGGTTAACCTGTCGGCTAGTGTGCTTTGAGCACGTGATTACGATAAACGCCGCGTAACTAAAGTTTGTATTTAAACATTTTTCCTAAGGAATTCGTTTATGTGCTTCCGACGACAGATTTGTTTTGTTACACATTCGTTCTCGGCTAGTGCCATGGATTTTCCTTGAAAGTTTCTCGATGTTAATCTCCTCGTTCGTAATTCCGCTAAGCTATAGTAGAATTACTAATTTCAATAACCGATCGTACGTGTATCTTTTACATTTTTCAATTATATTATGTATTTATATATATAATTATTTATAGTGGTAGTCGAATGTGTGCAATTGATACTAAAGTTTCTTTGGCAATACAGCCATATTGTACATTGTTTTAAACAAATTTTCCAAAGTAAATCTATCTTTTGTGTTTATTTTTGGTTTTTTTTTCTTATTCTATTTACAATTATTCAGCAAGCATATAAATATTTCTTAGTTTTATGGATGGAATTTATTGCCAATAGTTATTGTTTGATCACCATATCAGAATATAATGTGTAGTAAAAGAAATGTGATAATTAATTTGCCTCTTGAACTCGTATATGTATATAATAATTCTTGCTGATTATGAATGCTAGATTATGGTTCAACTATAGATTATAAAGCTTGAGCTATAAAGTTCAACAAATTTGCGTTAATGGTTTTCTCTAAAATATACACATCGACACATGGATTGACTAAGAAGTTAGGATAACAGATAATATTGTTTGGTTATATACATACAGCAAAAAAAGACAGAGATTTAGTAATGAAATCATAATGAGCAATATCTATGATACGACAGACAGAATTTGACATAAAATGTAAAGGCATTATTATTTTCATTGAGTTGTTATTCAAGACAATTATCTCATAGTGATCAGCAAAAATACACTCTTTACCGTTGGATTGCTTGTAGCGTTTTTCCTAATAATATATAGAATGTTTTAAATTGTAGTTAAATGTAAAATATGTAATGTATAAAAGAAACATTTCTTGATATTGACAGGGAAATTGTTCTAAATCAACGGAATAATGGAAGGTGGAAGCAATTTGCATAATCCGGGTAATTATCCTGGTGGTGACCGTCAACAATTTTGTGTTTCATGGAATTCTCATCAATCAAATATGCACAGTGCATTTCCCAAACTTTTAAGTTCTGAACAATTTGTCGATGTCACTTTAGCTTGCGATGGTGGCTCAATAAAATGTCACAAAGTGGTATTATCCGCTTGTAGCGATTATTTGGAACGTTTGTTGTTAGAAATACCATGTACCCATCCTATTATATTTTTGAGAGATATGAGAATGTGGGAACTGCAAGCTTTAGTGGAATTCATGTATCGTGGTGAGGTATATGTGGAACAACAACAACTTGGCAAATTAATGCAAGCCGCTGAAGTTTTGCAGGTAAATATATGAAAATATTGTTCAAGCTATTAGCAATCTTGGAAATAATGTTTTAGAATAAATATAGATACATGTACATTCTATTAATTCTTGTGGCAATGATATCATCATATAGGTTCGTGGTTTATTCACTCAAGGGAATGATAATTCTTCAAGCGAAAGTAGTTCTCAACAATGTGACTCTAATATCGCTGTTGCACCATCCACGACCACGCAGCAGGATGGCTCTGATTATAAAGGCGAGGAAACTCCATCAGATGACGGAACTTCGAGCGCTAATTTTTTAGAGACGACATCGATTGCTGCGTCTAGCACGGCAAGCGCTCCATCTGTCAGCACTACGCCAGTTCCACAGAATTCGAATTCATCAAATTTTATGGAACACAGTGAGGCGTTACAACACTTGGAGAAAGCACTTAGTGCTTGTGAAGCGACTTTAACCGAGACTCAGGGCATGGTTAAAATGGAGCCAGACGAGCAGTTTACTCAACATGACAAACCATATTCTATTAGCATGGTACCGAGCAGTAATTGTAACCCGAGCAGTCCGTTTCCTGCGATTGAAGGTAAGAAACAGGAACAGTGCAGTGATTAAGATTGTTCAATGATTGAAACAAGAAAGATAGATAATTAATGAAAACAGAATTGAAAAAAGAAGCGTCGAGGAATATTTAAATAATATTGATAATTACAACATGAACTTGCGTGTAAAATTATGCATGTTTGTTATTCTGTAACATTTTCATATTAAACAATGTAAATAATTATAAACAATGTAATAATTGTGAAGTAGTAGCGATCGCTACTGTGGTTATGCATACGCGGTATACATATATTAAAATACGCGCTGTGAATATATTAAGAATGCATACGTTAAAATCGTATGCGTTTTCTCGTCGCCTTTACTGCATATCGCTGTCAATTTTCAGGTTATCAGAGACGACAGAGACGTTCGGAAGAAGAATTGAAGCAAGCTTCGGATATGGTAGCACGCGGTATGACGTTTCAAGTCGCTTCGGAAAAGTACAAAATTCCGATAAGTACGATTCGATTCTATATGGTTAGAAAGGGTATATTGCAAAGGCGAAAACGCGGTCGTGGTTCAAGCAATCTTGGCATGAACAGTCAACCGGGAAGTCCTGCAAGTCCGCCATATCATATGATGAACTATCGTTTGCCAGAAAGCCTAAACTCCAGCCTACCGTAGTGCTGTACAAAAGATAGCCAGTTTTTAGACTTGAGTTGAATCGAACAAATTTTTTATTGCCACGTCGGAGCTGTTCCAGACTGTCACTCTTCCCATCTTTATATATAACTCAACTCACACTGAGTTATTCGTTTCTCGTTTAAACATTCACGACCCGTGATCACGCATGTACCAGTGCGAGTGCGTTTTCGCCGAACTACTCGTTATTCTATACACATTTATTGCATTTACAGAAGATAGTAATTTAATAGAAAATAATTGACAACGTGTACGTATCGTACATAATAGATACGATTTTAGTCTCGAACAGCTCAGCTCTGTGTACATAAGCACTATGTGCGAGTTTTCGAACGCTCGTCGAAACGTAAGAAGCGAGAGTGAGAGAGGGAGAGAGAGAGAGAGAGAGAGAGAGAGAGAGAGAGAGAGAGAGAGAGGCGAAAAAGAGCCATGTGAAGGATGCATAAGAAAATAATACGTTTGTACGAAAACGGTTGATTTTTCGTTGGCTTTGTACTGATTCAGTTGGAAATGTTTGATTTACCATTGATTGTACATAGCAAAAGATTTCATCTCTTCTGGTGTTTCATAAATAATATTGTAATAATCAAAGGAAGTAACGTGTCTCGATGCAGCGTTCGAAAACTATCCGTACGGTTCAGTTTTGGGCCGTGTTCCGTTCTTCTACTTAGTGACACATACACCTTACGTGCATGGATAACGTAAGAGGTATTTTTTTGAGTCCTATATACAGATTGCTACAACAGGTTTACAAAATATGGTTCATGGGAAAGTTTAAACGTGTCACGAAAATCATATTTTTACGATCACTCGAAATCTTTTGATAATACGTATCTGTAGAATAGGTTATTTTTTATTACGTCCTATTTATACATACATACATACATGCACACACACGCGCGCGCGCGCGCGCCCACACACACACACACTCTCACACACACGTACATACGTACATACATACATACATACATACATACATACAACATGCATATATGCATACATACATACATGCATACATACATACATACATATGTATACGTGTATGTATATACGTAGGCGTGCGCGTACGTAATGTTTCGCCTGCGTGCCTGCCTAATGTATGTTCGTGTCCGTGCCCATGTCCGTGTTCGTGTCCGTGTCCGTGTTTACGTCTGCATCTGCGTTGAGCATATATGATGTGCGCGCGTACGTAGATGTGTACATGCATACACACTTATGTGTATATATATATATATATATATATATATATATATATATATATAAAAATATAGATGTACACGAACGCATATACACATATACATACACATACTTACGTATATATTTATATGTGTTCATGTATAATACACACATACGTGTATTATACGTACACACACGTTCATATATATGTGTGTATGTGTGTACGTACGTACGTACGTATGTGTGTATGTATTTATGTATGTATGTATGTATTACGAGTAAAATGTACATGTACTCCATTAAGTTGCTCTTTTCGAATCTGAATAACAAATAAGATTAACTCGAGATTCTACGCGTTAAATAATTGGTATTATTACAGAACGAGCAGGATGAAACAAGTCGTTCGAATAATGTCGTTTACTTGCTTGCTTTTGCGTAGCGCGAAGTTAAATCGGAGTCGAAGCTCGCTGTTGTAACGAGACGGTGTACGTTACACTGTAGTTATCAGAAAATCGCAAGCGAATTAGTCACTACGTTCAAGACTGGCAACACGTGGCTGATCCGCATCCACGTCGAATCTTCTTATACGGCAAATCTGGATCTACTACATAATATTTTTGTAGACACTGCGCGTGGAAAGTGTCTTCTTTCTGCCTTTGTATATGAGTGTGTTTATATATTTATATATATGCATATATATATACACATACATGTACACATACAAACACGTATATGCATACATCTATAAATATACAGTTATGAGAGCGGGATCGTTGTTGCATCGATGCATATACATGAACATATATGTACAGACACAGTATACATATGGACATGAATATACAAGTCGATAGCTGTACATCCAGATGCTCGATGAACAGGTATCTGTTAAAGAAGTTTATGATTTAGCTTTTGTCGAAATGAAAATGGAAAAACGATCATGACGTACGTAGCGTAATGCTTTTTTCATGCTAGTGTACAAATAACATTTATAATCAATCGTCAAAAAATCCAGCAGTTTTCATAGAGGCGATCGAGTGTACGTTGTACGATCCTTTTATGAATACTGGATCTGCCTTTTTGAAAGATTACAATGATTACATACACTTGAAATTGTGCATACACGCCCAATGCGCATGCACGTATATCATAACATATAATACACAATATAATCGTACAGTGTATTGCCTTTGTTAAATAGCATTCGGATAAAGCCATATTTTTCCATGCAATGCAATAATCCAGCAAAGTAAATTACCGAAACAGCCTAAATAGAAGAGTGCCAGATATAAGAGAAAAGGAAAGAGGGAATGCAGAAGAAAAAGCAAGACGAAGAAGAAAAAGAAAAAAATAGAAGAAGAAGGAGAAGACGGCGATGATGATGATGATGATGATGATGATGATGATGATGATGATGATGATGATGATGATGATGATGATGGTGGTGGTGGTGGTGATGGTGGTGGTGATTGTGGATATAATAATGATATTGACGATGATAATTGATGATAAAAGATGATGATGATGATGATGATGAAAATGATGTTGATGGTGATGATGATGACTATGACGACGATAACGGTGATCATTATGATGATGCCGATAATGATAATGATGATGTCGACGACGACAACGGCGACGACAATGATGATGATGATGATTATGATGATGATGATGATGATGATGATGATGATGATGATGATGATGATGATAACAATGATGATAATAAAGGAAGTAAAAAACAGAGAAAAAAAAGGAGAAGGAATAAGAGAAGGAAAGTAAGAAAAGTATTTGGAGTAAAAAGCTATACAGACAATTTCCTACCATTCAGAACGTATCTGCCTTTTATTCTGGCCTCGTGATAAATCCTGACTTTATTTATACTTGACAATATGCGGAATACCGTGTGAAAAACAACTAAAAATTAGGTTAGGAAACTTTGTGAACATTTGGTTACTCGCGGTACATGGAAAAGCCCTATTCATTCAATCTCGTTCGTGCGAATTCGAGTTGGAAACAGATTAGAAAAGTCTACAAGCTTATCGTATACGGGAAATTTTTCAATTTTCCTCTTTCGTCATTTTCTCCCTTAACTTTCCTTATTTTTTGGGCGCGTAAAAAGTTTTTTATAGTTATATAGAACTACACAAAGGAAGGAAGGGAGGGAAGAGATAGAGAGAGAGAGAGAGAGAGAGAGAGAGAGAGAGAGAGAGAGAGAGAGAGAGAGAAGCGCTTGCGACAATTTACAATTTTTATATTTATCTATATTTCCTCTGTGTTTTGTCTGCCCTTTCCGAAATGAATGATTTCGTTTCTTTCTTCCCCTAATGATCTGTTACATTGACACCGGTTGGTCGTTGGGATACGATTCGATCCCAGATGTTAATCGAAAAAGGGCGAAGAGAGAGACAAAGGATACAACGTATGTGCGAGTGTTGTACGGTTAAAATCGGACGTTGGAATAACGAATATCGAATAAGTAACGGAGAATAGTTTTTTATGGAGATGCATAGTATCGTTGCTTGTATCGCGCGGATCATCGTTCAAAGAGTTCCAGTTGACAAAGGTTTTATACAGATCTATTAAAAACCAGTATTTCAAACCAATGAAAAATAATTAGTTTTCTAATAATAACGATACATTTTACGTAAATTTAGTACAGTGCTTAAGTCAGTAATGCTCAGCGTATCTAACAAATATTTTTAGTGGAAAGCCGTGTCATACTCACGTGTATTATAATACCCTTAAACTATGTAACTAAACAACAATCAAAGAAGCGTGAACGATACTTGACGACTATTATTATTATTATTATTATTATTATTGTTATTATTACTATTAGTACTACTACTACTACTACTACTACTACTATTATTATGATTATTATTATTATGATTATTATTATTATTATTATTATTAATTATTAATTATTAATTATTATAGTTTCCTTAGGAGTACCTTAGATCGTAGCCATTTCGAGGCAGTTTGCGTTATATTTAATTAGATCATCGCTTCGGAATACATTTTTTATGGCGGTATTATTATTTGTAGATAGAATACGGCGATTATATTTCTTACGCTAATTAGTGGATTGCTACATTAAGATTTCATTTTACAGTTACCGAGATCAATGTCCTGCGAATAGCGGAGAATGCGATCGATCGGTCTTCAACATTGGTCTTGTTCCACACCTATCGTTTCTTCTCTTTTTTACTACTCTTTTTTTTTTTGCTTGATCCATATTTACATAAATATNACACACACACACACACACACACACACACACACACACACACACACACACACACACACACACACACACACACACACACACACATATATATATTTTTTATTACATTATCTTCCATTGAGACGACAAAATACTTGAATTTTACCTTGAGAAACATGCTTTTTCGAGATTTTTCGGCATTGTTCGGTAGAGGAGAGAAAGAAGAAGAGGAAAAAGTGGAAACAAAGAGAGAACGAGAAGAAAGAGAAAACAGAGAACGAGCGAGCGAGCGAGCGAGCGAGCGAGCGAGCATGCGTGTGAACGAGTGAACGTGCGAGCGAGTGAGCGAGGAAAGGAGAATGTGCATGTGCGTGCGCGTGTATGTGCGAGCTGACGACGACAATGATGATGAGAAATTGCAGTTTCTCTGACAATGTGTCCGATGTGAAAACGGCGAGAAAATTCTCTGTGAGAAAATTTGGTCCGCCAGGTGAAACTCTCGGTCGATCTTCCCGTCCCGAAAGCATGACAGACAGACAGACCGACCGACCGATCGATCGATTCCTTGCTCGAGTTACAATCGTGAAGAACGTTCTATAGATATTTTTCGATGAAAAACACAAGCCTATAAAAAAGTCCAATTTTCTAAACGTAGGTTCCTTAAGAATAACAAATTTAGCGTAACCGTTAAGAAAGCGTAGCGTGTATACGTTATAGTAGACGTTGTAACGATTGCGTCGTATCGAACGAGATCCGTCTTTGAGAACGTTCGTCGTTTTTATGATCCAGAAGGGAACGAAGCACGCTCGAACGATGATTCGTTTCCGATGGAAGAAAAAAGGGGGAAAAGAAAAAAAAAAAAAAAGAAGAAAGAAAACGGGATCGTCCGATGTGACAAGTGCGTTGGAATGTACACGCACGCATGCACGCGCGCACGCACTCACGCACGCCGCACGCACGCACGCACGTACGTACGTTTCGGGCGCGAGTACGCGTCGCAGATAGACGGATAAATTAGCGATTAGCGGCAGAAATATAGATAACATGGTATTCTCGTGCAAAGCCCTGAACTGTTCAGTTGTTCGGATTTCGCGTTCCCGCGAAAGTGTGTGTGTTGCACTCGTCGTATATGATGAACAAAATTGAAACAAACAGTAAAAACGAGAGAGATTACGAGAGGCGAGTAGGAAGAAAAAGAGAGAGAAACGTACGAAAACGTGGACATTGCATTTTGTTTTTCTTGCTTGTTTCTTGAAAGTTTCGAAATGTCTTCGAAAGTCGTGGCCCTTGGAGGATGCGAGAAAACACACTGTGAACCGGCGATGGACAGCGACGGCAGAGCCGATGGTAGTAAAAAAGGGCGACGACGCCGATCACGCGATTACCAAAACTATTTTTCGAAAGAGGAAACTTCCTTGACGAGTCGATATTGTCCAGCAACAGGATTACGCCAGCGATGTCCATTGCGCGTACAAAACGCAAACAATCTATCATTCGACATGGTGAGGAGATTTGAAAAAAGAAAGAAAGAAAGAAAAAAAAAGAAAAGAAATGGCGCCAACGCCGTGAGAGCGGGAGAAAGAATTCGAAGTTTCCTCGAGTCGCAACACATAGGCACTTGTGTACAGAATTTTTCGTAGGTTGCGAAGATTTCCATTAATAAACTCTGCACTTGTCGGCTTTGTGAAATTAAAGTATTGTTGTTTGATTTACGCATAAGCTGTACGTTAAGGACAAAAAAAATTGCTTATAATTTAGGATCGTGTAACGTGTGTTAGCGAAGCATGCTTCTAAGTAGAAAGATAGGACAATGCTATAACAATAATTATATTATAATTAAAATGAATTAAGAATATAAGGCATTTAATAAGTGCAAAGTATTTCTTAATAAAAGTACTTCCAAAAATAAGAGTGCGTCCAGTTATTTCACGTTTCAGTTTTTGTTCAAATGCTTGTTGAAAATATCGCCGCGTGATTTATTGGTGGTGATACGCCGCGTTATACGCATCTTGTTTGTATAATCACGTTGTCCCACGGTGTACCGCTGTTACCGCTGTTACCGCTGTTACCGCTGTTACACTGACGACGAGCAGCTTCGTTGTTTCTCCGTACCGGTGATTAAGAACGTCGTTGCGTATGCGTCGCGCCAATACCAGAGCGTATTCGACAGACAAGGGAAAAATGCAACTGTATATTTCGTACACAAGTATACATGTGTCTCGCGAGCCCCCGAGAGTCTTTTCTTAGTGCGTTTCCCCCTTTTCACTGAAAGACAACTCTGCACGCACGGTATATATCGACATGTCGACATGTCTTCCGCGTTTAGTTATCTGAGAGAGAACGCGCAACACATGCAAATTCGTTTGACGACGAACTCGCAGCTCGGTTGGGTCAACTTGGGCCCAAGCCGTGCGAAGAGATGCTCGTCCAGCGAACCGAGACGATTGGGCAGTTTGTCTGAATACACGTGCACGCTATACTATAGGACGTACGTGTTCAGACGAACAATGTCCATTCGCAAAAATCGCAAAAATCGTTGATTCACTTTCAGTAGGCAAACGTTGGAGAGGATGCGTAGCAAGCTGTGAAGAAAAAGAGAGGGGGGAGAGAGAGAGACTCGACGATGTTTCGATTGGAAAGATTTGATCGAAACGCGAATGTAAAAACCGGGGGATCGAAGAAGAAGAAGAAGAAGAAGAAGAAGAAGAAGAAGAAGAAGAAGAGGAAGAGGAAGAGGAAGAAGAAAGAGGAAGGTGCAGCAGGAGAGTAAGTACCTCGACTTGGAATCGAGTTCTTCGAAACGAAAATTGCGTAGTTGTCGCGAGCGGATGATTTGATGCGCACACTCCCGCGCGTTCCCTTTGTGTTATTTTCGGGCGGAATCACCGTCCGAAGCTTTAAATAGGACCGTCTTTCCGACAAAGAAGGCAGTTTAAAACATCAATTCTACATGCTGGAGCATCGCAGAGCATTCACCGTGAGTAAATAGAATCATGAGACAGGATTTGCGAGGGGAAACGTCAAACGCGACACAGTTTTTACGATCACGTGGAATTGGAAAGACTGTCGCATCGGTCGTGTTTCTTTTTTCCACCTCGAGCGGTCGTATCGCGTCGCAACGCATCGCATCGCTTCGCTTCGGTTCGCTTCGAACCGCGTCACAATCCGCGTCGGCGTCTCGATCGAATAATCGATGAATCAACCAAATTTCCATTGACGATAAGCGGTACGTTTCGATGTAGGTAGGACGGTCGAGGGAGAGAAAGAAAGAGGAACAAAGCATACATACATACATACATGCATACGTACGTACGTACGTATGCATGTGCATAGACATGTGTGTGTGTGTGTGTGTGTACGCAGGTAGAATTTGGTTGTTGGATGACACGAAGGGAACGTGGAGCGGTGAAAAAAGTAGGTTAAGAAAGACGGTTCTCGATCGAGTCGATCGACGCGCTTCCGATATCATCGCCAAAATTGTATCACCGCTTTGGCACGGTTTCGGACGCGGTGCGCGGAGCGACAGCGACAGCGACAGCGTTAGCGACGCGACGTTTGAAACTGTCGAGATCTCGAGAGCGCGGCCGAACGAACCGTTGAAGAAGAATGGCTCGAAAGAAGAAGATCGGTAAAGGCAGCCCGGTTTTTTTTCCCTCTAGAGAAAACGATTGTACGAAGCTGCCAAAGTTAACCTTGGTTAATCGATTCTTGCTTTTTGTCGATTCGTACGGCAGATGCCTTCCGAGTGCATCGCCAATCCGTTGCAGCGGGAGCTGGCCGACGCTATAATTCGATTGCAACCGCTCGACGAGATTCGAATCCTGCTGGCCTGCGGGGCAAAGGCAAACGAGCCGGTGACGCAGGGCTTGAGGCCGTTGCATTACGCGGTGTGGCAGAGGTATACGGAAGCGGCCCAGCTGTTGTTGGTGCGTGGCGCGGACATCGACGCGACCGACGAATGCGGCTATTCGGCGTTGCACCTAGCCGCCGAGCACGGTTACTTCGATTTGGTCAAACTGTTGCTCGAGCACGGTGCCAAAGTCGATCATAGACGAGAAACCGGAGAACTCTTTCCAAGGTATTTCTACTTTCTCTTTTTCTTTCTCTCGTTTTCTCTTTTCTCTTCTCGTCCTTTATCCTTACCTGTCTCTTTTCTTCCTGTCATCCTCTGCTGTCTCCTCTCCTCTCCTCTCCTCTCCTCTCCTCTCTTTTCTGCGTTTCTTCGATCTATGCGAGCCACGATCGGAATTACACCGGTAGTAAATAAATAGTATCTATAGCCGATGCGTCGATGCGCGATCTCTTAACGAGAAATTAATCGCTACGACCGTCCTTGGAACGCGAGCCAGAGATCAATCCATAGCCTTCCATGCTACGAATTTCTGTCTAGAATGATTTAATTGCACCTCTCTGTGTATACTGTTGGCCATTTATTTTTATCGATACGTTGAGAGATACGCGGCGGGGTGGGAGTAAGCGTGGAAAAGAGACGGACGACGAGCGAGAGAGAGGGAAAGAAATGAAAGGCGAGAGGCGAGACGACATTGAATGGAATAAAATTTCGGAGTATGAAAGGTATGAGAAAGTAGGGATGAAAGGATGAACAAAGTTTTACGCGCGTAAAATGACGACGCGATGGACACGTTGGAGAAGAGAGACAAAATGACGCGTGCGATGATAATTTGCGCAGGACGACGCTGTGCGACGAACCGTTGCGACTCGCTTTGAGAAATCGTCACGTCGAGGTGGCCAGGATACTGCTGGAGGCTGGCGCCAATCCGAACAAAAGGTACTTCTTCGGGTCGGAGATCAATCTGGTGTCGCCGTTGGATCTGCAATGCATGGAGTTGTTGTTAGCGTTCGGGGCGCAGCCGAACACGCGGGACCGCGCGGGCCTCACACCGTTGATGAAAGCAGCGAGGCTGCCACAGGTAAATCGGTCGAGAGAGAAACGAAACGAAACGAAACGAAACGAAAACCAAGCAAAACAAGCTACATTTGCCGGATGAGAACAACGGATAATGTTGGATGATGGCAGGGCATAGCTTCGGTACTGCTTCTGCTGAGCTACGGGGCGGACGTGAATTCGATGGCGGACGCGCGACACGACTACCGGACCGTTCTGCATTACGCGATTCTCGGCGGTGATCCGACGGTGATCGATCTGCTGTTAAAGCAAGGGGCACGGCTCGATCTTGGTCCTGAATATCAGAAACCCACGGCTCTCGATCTGGCCATTTTGAAAGGAGATCCGTCGATCGTTCAAATGCTGTTGGAATCCGGTAAGTTTATGCTCGTAAGTTCGTTTATGCTTGTCTCTCATAGTCGATACCACGTGCCTGTACGTACATACATACATGTCGTGCCTATAGCTTTAAAGTTTTGACTTTTTAAGCCAACGACTGATGGCGATTAGATTAAAATTTCGATTTCAAATTTAGGTGCCGACGTGAACGCTACCTCGCCGATCATCGGATCGCCGCTTCACGTTGCCTGCGCGGATAACATTCCAAACCGACTGGAGATTCTGTCGATGTTGCTGGAACGTGGAGCGGATCCAAACTTGGTGATACGAAGCGACGAAGGTCCCGCGTTGCGGCCAGTACTCGCCGAGTACGTCGCTTCGAACGAGAATCCCTCGGTCGAGGTGGTGGCCCTGTTACTCAAATACGGGGCACGAGTCGTCATTAAGACGCAGTTCCGCGACCCCCACGGCATATTGAACTCCCTTCAAAACACCGCGGACAAGCCACGGCTGCTCAAGGCGTTGCTCGAAGCGGCAGAGAGTTTCGATCCTTGCATGATAAGAAGATCGAGCAGCTTGACAGACGCGCAGAAAGCTCTTGTGATGGAAGCGGCACGGACACCGTTGCCCTTGACTCATCAGGCCAGGCTGATTGTTCGCAAACTATGCGGCACCAAGTTGCCCAAGATTGTTCGTAAACTACAGTTGCCTCAATCGCTGCATCGTTATCTTCTCTATGATTTCCACTGATTGTCATCTTGGCTGTCTTTGGCCGTCTTGACCGTCGTTGGTGTCATCCAGTTAATGTCGTCTCGCTGTGGCTTTTTGGTTCGCAACGTGAACCAAATCGGATGGCACATGGCGCAAACGTAGCGGTGTTATTTCTCCTTCGTGTTTGATCCGCCACCGTTGTCGCTTCCTTCGTCAAATGCTCTGTTTCGGCACAGAGATTTCTTTAGTATCGCCGTTTCGATGTCTCTGATCTGGCACATTTCACAGCGAACGTGTGCGTTTCGTTCAAACGTGTCATTGTCCTGGCAATCGTCGTGCTTGACAATCGCTTCCAGCGTACACGCCAATGATCGTTAGTCGATCACGTTGCCCTTTTAGTCAAAATTGCGAAAAATTATTTTCTTACTACCAATTTTCATTTGAGATCAACTTTTGTTTCAAAGTATATTATATATATCTATATATTTTTTTTTTTACTTACTCTCAATTGTCCTGTTCCCATCAGCGACTCGTCCACGACATAAATTTCCAAGTAAAATAACTGCGTTTACGTGAATAATGCAACTGACTTTGTGTATACGCGTATATGTACGCAGGCGTTTTTATCCATATACGTACATCTGTTATAATATATATATATACATACGTACACGTATTTTGTATACTTGTAATGCTGGATAAAATTCAATAGATTCTCTAAAATATTACTTCTCTACGAATGTTCCACATTTCCATATTATCCGCGTTATGACTAAAGAATCCAACGTGTTTCAACGATAAATACACACATGATGCAATATATTTGCGCGTAAATGCCTTGCGAGTAAAAGTAAAAAGCATGGCGAAGCTACAATTCGAAAAATGGAACGGAACGGAATGGAACGAAACGGAACGGAACGGAACGGAACGGAACGGAACGAAATGGGATTTGAACTAGAGTATAGAGAAAGGACGTCAGGCGAAAAATGGTTGAGAGAGGGCCAACAAAATACCATATCTGATCGAGAAAAGACAGATACAGAGATGCAACGATTAAGCATTGAAATGCGCGGAATTTGGCTAGTGGTAATGTAACGTCGACTCGTTCTCAGCTGCCTCATCTTACCCTTTCTTGTTTCATCCTAGAAATAGTAACCTCGATACGCGGCGAGGTTGACCGACGTCAAAGCATTGGCAATCGTTGCGTCAGTGTGGAAATTAAGAGTACAAACGCGCGCAATTAATGAATTAATGCCAATATTCAATATATATACTTTTTCTTTTTTTTTTTTCTCTCTTGCAACTTTCTCAATAGGTATACGTATGTATCACGCACACATACGTATCAACCTGTATGTAATTACTTGTTAAATTAACGAACGAAAGATTGCAATTATTTGGCATAATTTTGCTCCCGTCAAATGTTTCGAAAATGTTGGGAAAACAGGAGAATGATGTATACGTGCTTGCAATATGTATTAAACATGTGCATATTACAGTAATATCGTAAAGCACGTTAAAAAAGGTGCTACAGTTTAAAACTATGTGTAAGCGTACGCAAGTTTGACAAATTTGTCTTCATATTGATCGTGCACGACTTTAAATAATGTGTATTTCAATTCGATCACGATTTAAATCCGAGACTTTATCGATTGTCAAGACTAAAATTGTATTTAAATACAGTATAATACATAATACATAATTCACTTTAATTGCGATTCATTTATATTTTATGTCTTTTGTATAATACATAATTCACTTTAATTGCGATTCATTTATATTTTATGTCTTTTATATAATACATAATTCACTTTAATTGCGATTCATTTATATTTTATGTCTTTGTTTTGTTTCACATTACATTACGATACGAATTTACGCAATACACGATGCACGTGTACGTACGATACATATATCGGAATTAATCGAAAGATAATTGCTGGTCAAACGAGAAAAATATTTATTCTATCTATACATGTAAATTTTTTTCATCCTCCTCTTCCGTACGTACGTATACATGTACTTGAATCTATAAATTTGTAGAATTTTTTGCACGAATCTACATTTCCTGCAGCCACATAACATAACGTGTACGTTATGTAAATGTATGCACATTTAATGATACAAATTGTTAAATGCATCGTTATAATTCATCATCGTCGTCGTATAAAAGGAAGTGCAGACTGTACATACAAGTATATACGTAATTTGAATAGGCACGTGTAAAGTAAATAAAAAAATTGCAGAAATGAAATCGACGAAGACGACGCGTGATTTACTGATGCGAGCGACTGTGCCGAATCGAGATATCGATTCACGCCGGATCGAGTCGAGTCAAAGTCGAATCACCGTATAATCGAAACGAAAGCGTAGAGGCTGGCAGGAATGCTGTCAAGAATATGGTGGATGAGTCGTAACATGGTTAACGACAAATAGTTATAACAACGAGAGGAATAACGTTATATGTAAGGGAAGAAAATAAGAAAGAAAGAGGGGTGGAAAACGGAGCAGAGGGGAGTGCGCTTTGAATGGTAGACGGTGGGACAGAGTGATAGAACTAGGCACGAGAATGGCTGTCAGGGCGCTGCTTGGACCTTCTCTACGCTTGAACAGATTATCAACTGGACTGTGGAACGAGAGAGCTGGCAACAGAATAGCTGTTTTGATCAACGTCGAGAGGTGAGGTCGTCAGCATGATTAGATTTTAACTGTTACCAAAGACGTTTCTATGTTTGGTTACATAATGATATCATAACCTATAAGAAACATCTTCCAACACGTAAACTTGTACACTGGAAATATTGTAGCCAACGACGAGATGCGCATAAATGGTATCCAGACCAATCCGATTGGGAGCACGTACGACAAAGAGAGAAGACCACCAAAGTGTTTGCACCTGATAACTTGTGGCCTTACTTAAAGGCAGAGAAGTTTAATCAACCTTTGGATGACCGGAAACCTCCACCGCCGCCAGAATTGCGAAATGTAATGATCAACTTTGGCCCTCAGCATCCAGCTGCACACGGAGTATTACGACTAATACTTGAAATGGATGCCGAGTACGTAGTGCGTGCAGATCCCCACATAGGTCTTTTGCATCGAGGCACGGAGAAGTTGATCGAATACAAAACGTACATGCAAGCTTTACCTTACTTTGATCGTTTGGACTATGTTTCCATGATGTGCAACGAACAGTGTTTCTCCATTGCTATTGAAAAATTGTTGAACATAGAAGTGCCCTTACGAGCAAAATATATCAGAAGTAAGTATTTATGGAATGTAGAATGTATGTGTAGAGTCGATGAAAAATTACAGAGAGAGAGAGAGAGAGAGAGAGAGAGAGAGAGAGAGAGTGAGAGAGTAAGTAAATGTTTAAAATCGAATGTTTGTGTATTTTAGCTTTATTTGCCGAGATTACAAGAATCCTGAACCATCTGATGAACATTGGAACGCATGCCCTCGACATAGGAGCTATGACACCATTTTTCTGGTTGTTTGAAGAACGAGAAAAGCTGATGGAATTTTACGAACGCGTGAGCGGCGCTCGCATGCACGCGGCTTACATTCGTCCGGGCGGTGTTTCTTTGGACATGCCGTTGGGTTTGATGGACGATATATACCACTGGGCCTCGCACTTTGCAGAACGATTGGACGAAGTGGAGGACATGTTGACGGAAAACAGAATATGGGTGGCACGTACGAAAGATATTGGGGTAGTAACGATACCACAGGCGTACGATTGGGGATTCAGCGGCGTAATGTTGAGGGGTTCCGGAATAAAGTGGGATTTGAGGAAAGAACAGCCTTACGATGCGTACGATTTGGTCGAGTTTGACGTTCCAATCGGTGAAGCCGGAGATTGTTACGATCGGTAATGAGAGAATGGCAATAGGACAGCACGAGGATTGCTCGACGCGGCAAACCTTTCTGTTCTTTCTTTTACCGTGTGAACGACGGATCGTTGATCGTGACCATTTCGCTTCTCGTTTTTAGATATCTGTGCCGTATGGAGGAAATGCGTCAATCGTTGCGAATCATTTACCAGTGCTTGAACCAAATGCCAGAGGGCGAAGTAAGGGTCGACGATGCGAAAATCGTACCTCCTAGAAGGGAGGAGATGAAAACCAGCATGGAAGCGTTGATACATCACTTTAAGCTGTACACGCAGGGATTCCAAGTACCTCCTGGAGCTACATTTACCGCGATCGAGGCGCCAAAGGGAGAATTTGCCGTCTATCTCGTTAGCGACGGTAGCAGCAGACCTTACAGATGCAAAATCAAAGCACCGGGATTTCCTCATTTGGCAGCTCTGCGCCACATGGGTCCACGGTGCCTGCTCGCCGATGTTGTAGCCATTATCGGTACTTTGGACGTGGTATTCGGTGAAATTGACAGATAAATTGTAAATACAGTATATTTATTGTTAGATGTATCTCGTACGTAGAAAATTTCGCTGATACTGTCGTGCTATCTGTTCCCGTTTGTGGGCAACGTGGAAAATGAGCGCGTATTTGCACGCCCACGTGAGAGAAGAGGAAGAGAAATAAAGTGTACTCGTTGCCGTTTAGGTCGAAACGTTTGGTGGTATGTCGATCCCTAACCGTTACCTATTCACACATACACACTTGTAGTTTGTTTTAGCAAAAATTAAAGTGAAAAGGACGCGAATGGGCGAGGAGTTGAACGACGGTTCGAAAAGGCAGAGGTTGGAGAATCTACTCCGTAGCACGAGCACACGGACGAAGCAGTAACGCTTATTTATCATAGTTATTATTTGTAGCGTGGACGACGTCGTTTGTCATTTACGTAATATATTTGAAGAAGCACGATTTTACGAACAATCTAACATTATCACGGTCATTTGCAGGTTGCAAAGAGATGTCCGGAAATGTCTTTCCATTCCCACGAAATTACAGAGATTAGTTTCCAATCAAAGGGTCAAGGCGTTCGTTATTCGTGATCCCGAGCAAGGGCGGAACGTTCGCTACGCAATTATTCGATGGCAGTTGCATACTCTTTCGCACCGATGAATCTAACGCTGTTTCGTTTCTTCTCTCGCTTGCGCGTTCTTTTTTTTCTTCTTTTTTTTCCTCCCATTTATTGGCTCGAACTCGCTCGTAATAAGATTCCAGTTTTTTCTTTTTTTTTTTTTTTATTCGTTGATGACATGAAAATGCATTATTAATATTCAGAATTATTCTTACGATACGTATAATTAATATTAAGAGTTATTTTTTTCGTTGCACGCAATTATCGATTAGATTACGAAACGATCGCTTTCCGGGAATAAGTGTAATTAAAATTAAAAATAAATAACATGTTTACGGACGTTGTCGTCGTCGATGATAGGTGCTACGCGTGGATCGATAAAGCACGACTTTTTAATGAAAATGTGCAAATCTTTTTTTTTTTTTTGTAACGTACCGGATGTGGAGGAAAAAGCCAATTATCTAAGCGAGCGATCGATATTGGATACAATGGTACAAACATTGGCATCGAATATACTTGCAAATAGATGGATCAAACGTAATAGGCAGAGGTGACAAATGGTATTGATGGCTAGAACAATATGGAACGTGGAGGAGCGAAGAGGAGAAACAAAGATGATACGATAACGTGAAATGTCAAAGACGAAACGAGAGGCGAGAAGAGGAAAAAAAAAAAAAAGAATAGCGAACGAGAGGGAGAAAAATGAATTAGTATAATCGAGTATCGTGAGAGAGACGGGAGAGTATGGATGGACGTGTAGCAGAAAGGTGGAAACGGCGGGCGCGAGTGAGCGTGTGATGGATGAAGGGAGAGGGAGAGAGAGAGAGAGTGAGAGTGAGCGAGCCAGGGGTAGAAGGAGAGGGAAATGGAGGCAAAGGTGATGTGGAGACAAGGTAGAGTGAGAAAGAGTAGAGCGGAACGGAAAGAGAAACGAAGGAAAGAGCCGATGAACGGAGAAGAAACAAAGAAGGAAGGAGGAGAGCGGAGAAGTGGAAAAGGAGGTGGGGCAATGATAAATCGTTCACCTGAACTGCGTGCCTGCCGTTCCAGGATCCAGTGGGATGGTAAAGGGAGTAGTACGTGGTAAACGTTGGTCGAGTGTCGAGTCGCTGCTGGTTATCGCAGCGCAGTGTATCTGCTGACCTCGTAGCGAGCGAGCGTGCGTGCGTGCGTGCGTGCGTGCGTTTCGATTCGAACGGCGTAACACAGATTTCCGCTCGATTTCGCCCGAGATTCCATAGATGCGCATTAACTGTGCACTCTCTCAGGTTTGTTCGCGATTATCACCGCACGCGAGCACGTGCGTGCGTGTGCGTGCGTGCGCGTGTGCGTGTAGTCGTCGGTCGTTGTTTCAAGCTTGATCGAAGCTCGATCGAAGCTCTATCCGCGTTCGCGTGCGGCCGTTTTGATCTCGAGCGCGCGCACGCGCGCGCTCTCCCGCGTTTTTCGACGCAAAGACTCGATCGAACACACATGTCGAGAGCAGATTGAAAAAAGAGCGGTTCGCACAGCTCGAACAGCGTGAAGAAGGAAAAGAATCGCGGCCGATGGTGGCGTACCGTTGGTCGCGCGTTGATCCTAGGTATCGGCAGCGTAATGACATCGTATTGACTGGCGTGGCTAGAGAAAGGTGAATCGTAGTAAGTAACAGTCTGACCGCGTACTTGGCGGTGTAGATCGTCTCGGCCCCGTGCAACGGACGAAGCGGTATCGTTAGTTGGCTGGCGTTCGTTGACGCACCGCCAGTGGCACACTTGTCGCTTGGAAAGGAGAATAGACTTTCTCCTTCTCGTCGTTCCTCCGTCGTACCACCGCCACCTTTCGTCTCTCTCTTCCATAGGAAGGATCTACAGCTCTCGAGCTCGGGACTTGCACGTCGGCGACGAACGAGTGACAGCGACGACGAAGACGAAGACGAAGACGAAGACGACGACGACAACGACGAAGACGAAGACGAAGACGACGTGGGTGCCGAGAGCGAGGACGAGGACGAGGACGAGAACGAGGACAAGGAGTAAAGCTAGAAGGAAAGTCCGGCCGAGGAGGAAAACTAGAACGTGAACAGGTGAAAAAAGACATCCACGCACGTGAGTAGATCGCGGTCGCGGACAAAACGAAAACAAAAAGGGAGGAAACGTGAAAAACGATCGGGAGAAAAGAAGAGAGAGAGAGAGAGAGAGACTAAAGTCGTGCAGTGAGTCGATCGATTGGTTGCGGTTATTCCTTCGATAATAGACGAATAATTCACCGAGGATCGGCGAAGAAGATATTTGTGGTGTATAGGGAACCGGGAAGCCCAATCGAGAACGAGAAAGAAGAGAAGAGAAGAGAAGAGAAGAGAAGAGAAGAGAATACGAGAGAAGAGTGGTAATCGGTCGTAAAGTCAAGATGAGAGTACATCGTGGAATTTGCGCGAAACTTCAAGGAGGATTCCTGAGGCGATGGTGTAAGTAATCGCGCGGCGATGTTTTAAGATTTGAAAGAAGGTCGAAAATTGAAACCGAAGGAGAAACGGTTTGTCCGCTAGTTGGTGGCGGTCGCGCGTTGCCGTTTCGTACGACACGAGCTTGGTTAGGGGGGGCGAGAAAGAGGCGGAGGAGAAGGAAGAAGAAGAAGGAGGAGGAGGAGGAGAGATTACGTTAACGAGATGGTTAAAGACGTTACCGGCGCCATGAACGTGACGCCCGATACGTTTTTTAATTTCATTTGGTGAACGTGTCGACTTGTACGCTTGCTTAGCTAGCGTGATGATTCATCACGCGCCCCGCGTCTCGAATCGGGTCGAATTAAATTGGATCGAGTCGCGTGGAGTTGGCTAGTTTGAATGAAATTTCCGGAGAGAGAGAGAGAGAGAGAGAGAGAGAGAGAAAGAGGGACAAAGACGAGAAAGAAGGAGCAGAAAGAGAGTCGAGTCGATCGCAAGGGGAAAAAAAAAAGAAAGAAAAAAAAAAACTCGATCGCGACAATGAAAATTTCGCAGATGCGAGCACGAGTCAATTCGTCGCCGTTTTACTTTCACTCAAAGACCGCGAGTTTCGAACGCGAGCGTCCTGCGAGCGGCGGCGGTTTATTTACCCACGTTCGGGCACGCGTACAATGCAACGCGGGCCGACGAGCGCCGCGGCGAGAGAAACGGAGAGAAGAATAGGAAGGTTGGCGAGGGAAAAAGATCCGTATCATCGACGCGTGTCGTTTTCGTCAGAATCAGAAAGCAAATTATAGCAATAGAGAGAGAGAGAGAGAGAGAGAGAGAGAAAGGTAGAGCAATCAACGGCAATGACGTCGAAGGATACGTCGTTATACTAAGGCGTTCGATAATTTCCGCGTCTCGATCTGCTTCTTCCGTCGTCGTTCCACTGGTTACGCAATTTTCTGACACAGTTTCTGTTCACATACACACAGCGCGGGTTTTTTTTCGATGAGAATTTTCCGACGTGTCGACGATATTCGACGACGGCGATGAAACGAGAGCCGGTAGTTGAGAAATCGAGTCGAGTCGAATCGAATCGAATCGAATCGAATCGAATCGATCGGACGAACAAATTTGCTAGTTGGTCTCGTCCGTTGGGCGCAAAGTCTTCCGAGTAAGAGCAGGAAGCATACGAGCTTATATAATAAGCGCAAGTAGCGGTCGGTGGGTACAGGTAAGTGCGTTATATATGTATGTACGTGGATTCGGAATTTTCGAGGAGGGGGGGGGGGGGTGGGCATTACGTGAGTTTACCGATCGCGGACGAGACTCTCTTCGGCTGGATAGGTAATCCGAGTTTTCGCTCAGCGGGGGAGGACAGCCGTCAACCAGTTGACGAACCGTTCAAGCGCGAGTACCTGTTTCATCGATCGATTTGCTCGTGACGCGATACACGTTGGACTTGGGGTTAAAAAAAAAAAAAAAAAACGAGAGGGGAAGAGAGAAAGAGAGGGGAGAATGGAATAAAGCAAAAGGAAAGAAAGAGGATGCGACGTTGGCACGTAGAACAAACGAGAGGAACGAGGGTTCCATCAACGCTCGTTACACCGTTGCCGGTGAGGCGAGCGCGTTGCATTCCTTCTGATTTACTGAATTAGTATCGACATCGCGGACGATGGCGAGGGGAGGGGGCTGGACGAGTTGGATGCGTGAGCGGGTAATCAATGGTTGGATAATGGCTGGTCGATGATCGATGGTCGATGAGAGCGTTTGCTCGATAAGGTGGCTCGAAAGATGGATGGAAAATTTAGAGGACGTGACACCGCGGTACATATACATATATTTATATATATATAGACACATTTTCCGATGTTACGACGTGCGGTACATATATATAGACACATTTTCCGATGTTACGACGTGCGCAAACACTGGCACGTTGCATTGGAAATTGGTGCGATCGGTCGCCGATTGATCGAAAAGGGAGCGGCCGAGTCCGCGGCAACACGCTCGAAGTACGTTTACTCGCGTCGAAGGTGAACCGCTCTCGCAGGAACGCGCGACCTACGAAATTATTACATTCTCGCCTCGATTTTGCTTCTCGACGTTGCGTAAAACGAACGAGCTTTTGCGCTGCGCAACGGTGCGCTGTGCACCGGTGGACGCACTCGGATTTGCCGATCAGCCGGATCGCGCTTTCACCCGAGCGCAATTTCTTCGACGTTACGCACAGGACGTTCGTGCGCAACCTCGCGCGCGCCGCTTGTCGAAGCGACGAGGTATGCGAGCTAGATAGCTCGCGATCGATGCAATGAAAAATAAAACGCGTGTACGATTTCGAACAGAGTAAATAGAGCTGCGGTTTCCGCGGCTCTTGGCGACGAAGACGAAGGGACGAGGACGAAGATTTTCCAAATCTTCTTTTGCCTTTCTCTCTCTATCGCAGTCCGTACGATCGGATTTTTCCACCGTTCGTATTTGTTCCATGTTACCGAGTCAACAATGTTGCGCAAGGAGATTCGTGACGCGTGAAAAACCGGCAACTCGCGTCCCGCATATTTTCCCAATACTCTAGAGAGAGAGAGAGAGAGAGAGAGAGAGACTACTCGTGTCTCTCTCGATTGACGATGGTTGATTTCTCGAGATTAGTTTCAGGTAATAATGTACTCTCGCGGTAGCAAAAGTACGCAGGTACGTACGTGTGCCGTACACGTACGTATGGATGCCACGATGGCCCCGGAAAAAAAAAACATTGTCCGTGAGCGCAAGGTTGCGTCGCTGGAGAGACGAAATGGCCGCTGGGAAGACGTTTAACGAGGATCTTCACGGCCGGTGAATCGTCGTTTTTAGATGGTCGGAAGCCGGTAACACGGTAATGAGAGCATCAAGTGGACGATCGCGTCGCGCCGCGTCCGTGTGTGAGTACGACGGTACACGCGAGCCGTGTGTCGTCCGCCTTGGACATTTCCACATTGGCGCGATGACCGCCAACTCGCGCGCCAACCAAGAATTTGTCGACGACGATTCAAGGCTCCTGGGGAGGAGAAGAGAGGAGAGAAGGGGAGGCGCGAACGTGCGTCGCCTTTTGAAATTTAAAAAACGTCGAAAAGTCTGAGAGTTTTATCTAGTGACGATGATGAGAGCGGCGACGGGTCCGGTCTCTCTCTCTCTCTCTCTCTCTCTCTCTCTCTCTCTCTCTCTCTCTTTCTCTTTGTAACTTCGTCTCGAAAGTTCGACTCCGCGAGGTCACACGATGCTCCTAAACCACGAGACGCGATGGATTCTCCAAGGATTTTGCAAGGTCGGAACGCGTGACGTCCGTAAATCGTGCCTGGCATAATCCGATGCGTGTCTCCTCCGCTTTCGGTCGAGACACTGTTTGACGTTTCCTTTTGCTCGACGATCCGGGCGACAAATCGATCGAGTTGAACCGGTCGCCGTCGGTTCGAGGTCAAACTTCTCGTCACAAACTTCTCCTCCGATCGAACGAAGAAGAAGAGAAAAAGAGAAGAAAAAAAAAATAAAAGTAGGACCGAGCAGTAGCAGCGAGCGTTTCGAAGGTCGTGGTACCCGCTCGTGTGCCACTTGGCTTCGCGCTACGTGGATTGAAAAATTAACGTGGCAATGGGCGCGTTTCGCAATCGCCGCGAAAGATCGCGTTTCGCAAAATCGTTTCTCGTTTCGAGAGCTCGAACGATCGCGCGACGCGTTTCAGCGCGATGGATACAATTGGCGGAACGAGGAACGAGAAGTCCGCGAATCCGACAGATTCGTCGGTCGGAATCGGTATTGAGGATATCCGGGATATCGTCCGACAACGGTGATGAGCGGTAAGTGTCGGCGATATTTTTTCGTTCAAGCGCGACAAAAATTGTGATGTAAAAAAATCGCGACTGGAGTCGATTATTTTCACACGGTCCGGACGAACGATCGCGATTTCTAAGCGGCTTTCTTCTCCCTTCGTTTCTTTTTTTTCCCTTTCCTCGATGCTTGCTTCCGTCTACTCGTCTGATCGTTCTTGATCGTTCAGGGGCAGCGGTGGCCATCGGGGCATTGATGATCATCGTGGCGGCGATTTTGGCGGCAGTTTTCCCAAAGCTGGTCGACGTGCTGCTCAACAGAGAGATCGCCCTTCGAGACGGTGGCCGTACGTTCAACTGGTGGCGGGAGCCGCCGGTGTCTCCTCGACTCAGCATCTACATCTACAACGTGACGAACGCCGACGAATTTTTAAACGATGGCGAGAAACCGGCGTTGCAGGAGCTCGGCCCGTACGTCTACGTGCAGCACTGGGAGAAGGTCGACGTGCAGTTCCACGACAACGACACGTTGTCGTACAAGTTGAGGAAGGAGTTTACATTCGCACCGGTGAGTTCTTCTCTTCTTTCCCCTTGTGTCGTTCCGAATCGCGCACTCTCCGATTCATACGAGAGAAAGACAGAAGAGCGTACGAGAGAGAAGGAGAGAGAGTGCGTGAAACTGGTGGTGATGAATTCTCCCTGAAAAACTGCGTGAAAAATATAGAGTAAAATTTTTTCATACCAAGCCTCGTTCCCCCGAGAAAAATGGCTTTGAATGTTTACCGAGTACGCGCGTACACTTGATCAAGATTCAACTCGATTATCGAAAGTTTCATTCCTCTTGAAATTTAATTTACCAACAAGATGGACCAACCATCGTGTTTCAGTCGTGAAGTTGGGAAATTTTTTAAATTAACGAAAACTACCAATGTTGGATCGGTCGCGTTGAAAGAGAATACCTCGTCACCGCTGGACTTTTACTTTACGGGGTCGTGTTAAATCTATGGTGTGTTCCACCAGCGACGTAAAGCGAACGTTGAACGAACGAAAGAAGAAAAGTTATTACGGCGTTTGCAACTACGAAATAACGCATTAGGAAATGTTTGTAGAAATTTAGTAAGAAGAGCACAGTTATGCGCGCAACAACGTGGGACGTCACTTTCAACAATTTTTGAACTAGAAAAAAAAAAAAATTGGTGAAGAGTAGACTCTTTTTCTGTGCCCTCGCGTACGAACATTGGGAATACATATTTACAAATGTTATATGTATAAATTTTATTTCCAGCCTCTTTGGCGTTGAAATTGACTTTGGTTTTTGCATTTATCCTAAATTTTACACAATATTTTTGTATCCTATTTTGCTTTATCCTATACTTATATTTATCTTAACTATGCTATTCTTTTGTCTACTTGAGTATCTTAACCTAAGTTTCTTTCATTTTATTTGTTGCTCTCTTCTTTTTAGACCTGCCTGGTCTCTTCTTTCTCTTCTCCCTTCTTTCTTTCTTTCTTTCTTTATCTTTCTTTCTCCTTTCTATTCGCCTAGGCGCCACTTTTACCACTTCTTTCCCACCCTTCTTCACTCAGTATCTCTTCCAGACTTGCATTTGTTGTCTCCACCTCTCTACAGTTTCTCCAATGCTCTAACGTTCCCTCCCCATCCTCGCACAATTGACATTTCCGTTCTTCTTTGCTCGCCCAAAATTTACTTCCCACATTTTTTCTACGGTGCCGCATCTTGCTCTGGCTATCACCTTCTGCTCTCCACTTTTCCTTGTCTCCTTCAGGTATTTTGGTAGTTCTCCAGATACTTACACTTTTGTATTTTTTTTGGGGGCTGTTACCAGATACTTATACTTCCAATTGCATCTCCTTCTTCTGAATTCTATTCCACTGTCTTTGCCTTTGTATTTTTGCTTCTCTTTTCCTTGGTATTCTACTCCCATCTGGCTAACACCATATATTTTGGGGCGATCTTGTCTTTCCCTTGTTCTTTCTTGGTTCCCTTTTCCTGCTTTCCTTTCTTTCATGGATTCTTTGGCTATTCCTTTCTCTCTTTCTCTTTCTATCCTTCTTTCACACTCTACCGCTCTTTTTGCCAATCTAATCTTCAGTTTCTCTCTCCATGACTATATAGTCTGGTGTCCTGATGTCCACCAGACCAACCGCCGTCCATTCAGTATATTTTCTCTGTATTCTCTGTAATTCCGCTTTTTCCGTCCATCCCCATACTTCTGCTCCATAGGCCAGGATTCCCACGACTAGACTGCGTCGAATATCTTCATTCTCCTCCGATAATCGTCTCTAAACATTCTCTCTCTCGTATTCCCCATGCATGCCTCATTACCACATTCGCTTTCTTTGCCACGTATTTTGTGTGTTCATTGTACTTGCCGTTACTCTCAAGTCGGTACCCCAGATATGTGAATTCTGTAACCTGTTCTCTATTCCCTTACCTTTCCAATTCCATGTCTCTTTCATTTTCCTTCCCCCTCCTTTCCCAAACACCATCATCTTAGACTTGCTCTCATTTAGCTTTTCCTGTCTAGATATTCCTCCAGCCTTCTCGTCCATTTCCTTCGTCTCTTTTTCTTCCTCGTTTGCCAGCAGGATCGTGTCGTCGTCTGCGTGTGACAGCGTCCAAAGACGCTTCCTTTCCCTAGAATGTTTACAAATGTTGGTAGAGCGTAACGAACGAAATCCGTCGAGTTGAAGCTTGATCGAGTGCACGCGTACTCGATAAACGTTCAAAGTCAGAGTTTTCCTCGGGAACGGCGCTTGGTGTGAGGAAATTTTACTCTACATTTTTTTTACTCAGTTTCTCATGTCAGTAATCGCCACCTTGCCGCTCGTTCACCACCAGTTACGCGACATGACCTGTACATGTGCACATGTACCGCGTAGGGCACGTTGGCGGAGGGGGGGAGCTCGTTGCGTCGTAGTTTCTCGTTTGGAGCTGAGGAGATTGCCGCGGAGAGTGAGTTTGCTCGCGCGGTGTGACGTAACTCGCGTCGCTGTGCACAGGTAACGCGGTGGGTAACGGTGTGTTGGTAACGATCAACGCGCAAAGTTGAGCAAGACGCGGCGATATAGCGGAGCAACGCGTTTCCGCGAATTATAAAAGCAAAGGCAGCACGTACAAAAGCGGTGGAGGGGGGGGGGGGGGGACGCGAGCGATAGATGCTGCGAAAGATGCTTTGCCGGCGCGCACGAGGCGACCTTCTTTCTCAGTATTGTTGTTTGTTGCGGGCAACGCAATGTAGGTCGGCAACAGTAACCGAGCGTTGCGAACGATCGAACAATACGTTTGTCGTACAGGCACGCATGAAACGACGGAGGTAACGTTCGCACGAGAAAGGAAGCGGCCGCTGTCAGCTTCGTCCGTAGCGTTTCACCGTTTTCCGATCTTTAACGAGCGTTCCGCGGTGCGAAAGAAAGTCGACTCGTTCGCAACGCACAGAGAGAGAGAGAGAGAGAGATTCTGGAAAATGATTTTGCAGGAGTTGTCGGTCGGCATGGAGGAGGATCTGGTGGTGGTGCCGAACGTGCCGATGCTCTCGGCGACCAGCCAGTCGAAGCACGCGGCGCGTTTCCTCAGGCTGGCGATGGCCTCGATCATGGACATACTACGGATAAAGCCGTTCGTCGAGGTGTCGATCGGCCAGCTGCTCTGGGGCTACGAGGACCCGTTGCTCAAGCTGGCCAAGGACGTGGTCCCGAAGGAGCAGAAGCTGCCGTACGATCAATTCGGCCTGCTCTACGGGAAGAACGGAACGATGCCCGACTGGTTCACCATCTTCACCGGTCAGCGAGACATCGGCAAATACGGGATCCTGGACAAGTGGAACGGAAAGAGCAGCCTCGGCCACTGGACCGCGCCGGAGTGCGACAGCGTGGCCGGCAGCGACGGCAGTATCTTTCCGCCGCCCATCACCAAGCAGACGGTGCTCAAAGTGTTTGACAAGGATCTTTGCAGGGCGTTGCCCCTGGTCTTTAAGGTGAGGCAACCTTTGCTTCTACGACGTCAGCAAAAACGAGGGAGGAGGAGGAGGGGGGAGGGGGGGGAATGCATCATCGTCCCCTTCCAACGTCCAACGACCGAACAAAGTCGCGCACGTACGCACGATACGATACGATATGAAATTTTTCGTGGACGATTGGTTTCAGGAAGAGGTGACCACCGCCGGTGGCGTTCCCGGGTACAGGTTCGTCCCGGCCAAGGACGCGTTCGCCTCTCCGAGCAGATTGGAATCGCAGCGATGCTTCTGCCCGGCGGGTCCACCATGCGCTCCCGAGGGAACTTTCAACGCCTCCCTCTGCCTCTACGATTCCCCGGTGTTGCTCAGTTTTCCGCATTTTTATCTTGGTAAAAAGACCATGCGGCGCCAAATACCTACCCCTTTACCTATATACTCGTACACTCGTCCGTTTATATTTATATTTATAGTACAGTTGCGTGTACGTACGTGTATACACTCTTGTCCGTAAGTCACCGGACGCTACGACAAATTGACGTACGGTCAATTACGTTCGATGAAATATCCTCCTATTTTATGAAACGAAACTACTACTTATTACACTACTGAATATTACATGTGTGTGTCGTACAGTTTATGCGTGAAAAATCTTACTTAAGAAGTATATAACGTATCTTTGTTACAACGTGGCATTCTTTCCATTAATTCTATCAATATTTCGGGACGAATTTCTTTCCGCGAGTCTTTCTTTCGATGTTCGACACGTTTTCCCAAGTCCTCGGTCCAATTCTTCGATTCGATTCTTTAAATGTACATTTTAGTATATATTTTTTGAAATATTCATTCAGACACTATCAAATCCAGAAAAGTATATCTGTGTTCTAGTAACTATTCAGCTCGAATTAAGCAAGTGTCCGGTGACATATATAGAGGGAAGTGTGTGTATATATACTCGTTACACACGCGAGCACGTACATATCTCCGGCTTTTATCTCGTTACATCAATTTCCCCCACGCTCGTCGTCGTCGTCGTCGTCGTCGTCGTCGTCGTCGTCGTCGTCGTCGTCGCCGCGGTGCTCTCGCTTCACACGCGAATTGGCCCGACGCGGCCGGGCGAGAGCGCGCGTGGGAATTTTTCACCGCTGGGAAAATCACGTTGAATACACCGGTTTTCGATACGCCGGTTGACGAAATTCTCTCTTCCACTTTCGCGTCGTCCTACAACGCACACGCTTTCATCATTTCGGAGAACGCAATGTCTCTCGAGATGATTGTATGTTCGAACGACGACGATCGTTTTTTTTTTGTTTCTTTTCTTTTTTCAGCGGACCCGGCTCTTCGGGACGCGGTGACCGGTATATCACCGCCGATCGAGGACAAGCATCAATTCTACATCGACGTCCAACCGATGATGGGCGCGTCGCTGAGAGCCAAGGCGAGAGTTCAGATAAATCTGGCGGTCAGTCAGGTGCGCGACATCAAACAGGTCGCCTCGTTTCCTGACATTGTCTTCCCGATCCTCTGGTTCGAAGACGTGAGTATCTGCGCGCTCGATCGCCACTCGTTCGTGCGCGAGCAAACGATCGGACGTGGCTGACGCGTTGGCGACGCGTTGGCCGATGATTCGATCGTGCCGAGATTTCCAATTCGAGATTCGAGATTCGAGGGAATGGACGGCAGAACGTGGTGCGACGACACGATGACGCGCGGTGCTAATGAAAGCCAAGCGCCGCGCGACCGCCGTGATTCACTCGCGTGGAATGACACGTTACGTGTCGATAATTCACCGGGCTGTCTACGTTCGTTCCCTGCCTCTCGTCGCGTTCTGTCGCCTCCTTTATTGCCATCTTCTATCCCAGATGGGGGACAGATGGGAGCCAATTATTTATACGAGTTACGAGTCTAAGCTCGGGTTCCAGCTAAAGTAACAAAGTGAAGCGATAAAACGAAACGTTTACAGCTCTGACTCTCGCTCTAAAAAAATTTCGATCGGTCTTTGTTCGAACGCGTCGTGCGGCCTACCACCTTCAAGTGTCGAACTGCACGCACGTTCGTGACTTTGGCATGACGCTTGGATCGATTGTCCAGCTCAAGTGACAACGATTGTTCATTGTCGGTTTCTTCTTTTGTTTCGTTCGACCAACAGGGTATCGACGAGCTTCCGGCCGAGATGCGAGGCCTGATGAAGATGGCGGTGGAGATACCGCCGATAGCTCGGGCAGCGATCTCCGGGGCTCTGGCAGCGATAGGGGCGATCGTTTTGATAGGAGCGCTGCTGTGCCTGGCGCGTGCCGCCAAACGGCAGGAGAAACTCCACCTCACCAACCCGTTGCCGTCCAACGTCACCGCGAGCAAGACCGCTGGCCAGCTGAATCCGGCCTTTCAAAATTCCTCCGGTTCCAAGTAGGAGGCCTCCAACCAGGTTTCGTTTTTTTTTCGGCTGTTCCGATCATGGTTGTTTCCGCGTGTCCTTTCTGATCTTGAGCGACGAGGCGCGGGTCATACTTTCTACCTTGGTGTCTACCAATCCTCTCGAAGGGATGCGAGAAAACCGCGAGAAAGCGAGAGACGAGCAAAGAGAGAAAGAGGCAAACTGGGGTGTTTTCATCTTTTTTTCGCCCTGCCTCTTTTCCGTCGTTCTGTCGTCCTCGTCGTCGTCGTCGTCGTCGTCGTCGTCGTTGTTCTGTCTTGCAATTAGAAGCAGGAAATGCGAAAGTGGGGCTAGTAGCGGAGAGCAAGGGAGTGTCGCGTCGACGTTTACTTTTTCGTGGGAAAATCTTTCGCGTATTTTCGCCGAGCGAACGAATTAAGGATTCGAATCGTTTCCGTGAATCTGCGCGAGTCGAAGAGCGAACGAGTTAAGAAAGCGAAGCGGAAAGGCGTCGAGAAAGTACGCGAAAGGATGTAACGGTGTGCGTGTGCGTGTGTGTGTGTTTGAGCGTGTTGCGTGTCGCGTGTACGTGCGCGTGTAGAGGAAGATAAAAAAAGAAAGAAAGAAAAAAAAGAAGTATCGTGGAAACGATGTGTTGGTAGCGTGACAGAACGGCCGATTAATCGATGGCCGATTGTCGAAGACTCTATATATACATATATATATATATACGTATATATATATATATATGTATACATGTATACGTATATATATATATATACGTATATATATATATATATGTATACATGTATACGTATATATATATATATATATATATATATGCGTCAGCGATCGATAAAATGCGTTCTCGTCTCTCGTAATCGTCCAAGAGGAAATCGTTCCGTCCAGCGTACGTTTGATCGCGCGCGTGCACGAGAGTCGTTGTCCTCGGACTTTGACGAACCTGGGCACTTCTCGCAGCGATCGAGATCTTTATTGTTATTCATTTACCTTCGTTTATGTGTATTTCGTTGCAGACCCTCTCGTTTTACGACGAGAGTTACGACTACGATTAGATTTCTAGATGAATTTATCGTTTTCTTTTTTTTCCTTTTTTTTTCTTTTTTTTTTTTTAACAGCGGAGCATGTTAAGGGGTGGGGCGGTGGGCGAGGAGAGGGGGAAAGGAGGGGGAGGGAGAAGGTGAGAGAGAAAACAGGCGGGAGAAAGAGGTGGAGGAAGAAACATAAAACAAAAACAAAAAAATAACGTAACAAACTAATTTTGAAATCGGATCGACCGGAGAAGACTTCGACCAACGTGTCGGAGGGGGGGGGGGGGGGGGAGGACGGACATGTTCAAATTAATAATAAATCAGTGTGTTGTACGACGTGTACGAGTTTTTGCTTGGTTGATTCGACGATGAAAGCGACAAAAAAAAAAAAAAGAAAGAGACGAATCGTTTATCGAAACGATGCGGTTCGACGCGACCTGGATAATTGTCGGCAGGTCGGAGCGTGTGGCGAGACGTCGCTTGTCCTTGTTTTCCCTCCTCCATTTTCCTAGATAACGTGCGATTTTGCCTGAATGCGAGGATACAATACGATGCGATACGATATTACACGATATTGCAAATGTGCAACGCGACGCTGCACGATACGAAATGCGGCACGATGCGACGCGATACGGTGTAACACAAGGGACGACGTCAGGCAAACAAGATGGCAAGAGGCAAATTGCGCGCGACAATCGTGCAATCGCGTGAGAGCAACAACAATAGTGCGAACGATCGTTTATTTTCGCAACGGACAGAGAGAGAGAGAGAGAGAGAGAGAGAGAGAGAGAGAGAGAGAGAGAGAGAGAGAGAGATCGGTGGTATCGATTTTATTAGACGAGTAAGCAGACGGATGGATGGATGGACGATCTCAAAGCCGGTCGAGTTCGACGGTTCGACGATCGGTCGTCGTCGGTTTCGTTGCGTTGTTCGATTCTTCCTGGTTCCTCAGGGCTGCGAGGAGAGCGCCGAACGAGACGACAACGCCGATCAAGCTGCACCATTGTAGCCCGGCCTCGACGGCGTTCACCAGATAGTGACTGAGATAAAGCGTTTGGCGAATCGATTCCGGTAGGTCGTCGAACACCATGTCGACCCAGATCAACGGTAGGATCGAGCCGTCTTCGAGATTTCCCGAGAATGGCATGCCGACAGCTTTTCGCACTTCCAGATTCAGCTGAAATCTCATTCTGGTGGCCACCGTGAAGCCTAAATGCTGCAAACCGGCAAGAAGAGAGAATAAGTTGTTGTACGTTGTAAATTATATACGTAGATGCACGCGACGATACATATACTATAGATACGATAGATATCGGTCTGTTCCAACCGCAAACGTACCGTGTGGAGGTCGACGTAGCTCTCGTGACGGTCCTGTTGGGGCGTTAATCCCTCGATCTTCTGGAACAACGACTCGTCGCCGGAGTAAAAGTGGGGAAAGGAGACGATCAACGGCGTGCCGAATTTGCAGGCGGATATGTTGAACGTTCCGGCTGGTGGGCATATTCTCGTGACTGAATCGTACGATTCCTTCGGGCAAAAACACGAGTCTTTGTTGCTAGTCGACGTAAATACGTTGCTCGGTAATTTGTACCTATGTATCATTCGACTGTTGAAGCGTGTTTCGTGCGACGACACTTTCGCCTTCGGGATCGGGAGGGAGGGGGGGGGGGGGTTAAATTCCTTTCGATCCGACGAGGAAAAGAGGAGGCGTGGGGAGGACGATCGGAAGCAAGTGCATACATACGTACGTACGTACGTATATGCGAGTGCTTGTAGGCGACGTGCAAACGAAGGAGAGAGATAAGGAAAGGGAGAGGAGACACGGATCAGGAGAGAGAGAGAGAGAGAGAGAGAGGCACGAGGTAAGAAAAAGGGCTGCAAAGTAAAAAGGGCTCACCTTAATGTAGGAATGCCGTTGGAGAAGCTGCGGCGCTCGTAACGAAAAGGCAATTGCCTGCAAAACTCCTTCGCGTTGACGTAGATGGTGGCGTTTGGCTGTTGTTGGATCAAATTCGGCGGGAACATGCTGCCGTCGGTGCCGTAGATTCGATCGCATTTCTCGTCACCCCAGATCCGGTAGCTCTCGTGGCCGTTGATCCGCTGGATTGATCCCAGGTCGTCCGTTCCCGTGTACATCGTGATGCGATCCGCGTTCAAGCCGTTTCTCTGAAACGCGTCGAACAAATGAGGGATGGTGGAGGGATGCTGGCGAGTAATCTCAGTAATCGAGTTCGTAAAGGATACGAATATATAATATATATGTACGTACGAACGCTAGGATTCCAAACTTGTCGTAGGGCAGGGATTGTTTCAACGGTGGGAATCGCTTGGCCATCTCGAACAGCTCGTCCTCGTAGCCCCAAAAGTACTCGCCGACCGGCAACTCGAGGAACGGATTGGCGCGTAGTTTCAGCCCGGTCACCATCATCGTGAATCCGATTTGCAGCAGGTAATTGAGGTCTCGGGAGTAGGCGAGGGCGGACATGAGCAACACGTTCGGCACGACCACATTCTGCCTCTCGGACAACCCGGAGATCCACTGGAAGCTCCTCTTCTCCTGATACGTGACCGTTCGATTCTCGTGCAGATGGACGTTCGTCCGGCTGAGGCTCTCCCGATAAACGAACGGGCCGACCTCCTGCACCTTCAGCTTCCTCGCGATCCCGCTCTCGAACTCGCGCACGTTCGTGTAATTGAAGACGTAGATGTTGCTCTGCAGGCCGACCGGCGGCCGCTGCCACAGCAGGAACGACCGGCTCCCGTTCCGCAGCTCCAGGTTCCAGAGGATCGCGTCGCGGAACGCGTTCGTGCACCAAAACAGCACGAACGTCACCACGCTCAGCAACGCCGCCAATCCGTACGCCCAACACCGTCCTCGCCGTCTTTGCGTTCCTCCGGTCAGTCTTTCAATCGCTCGCGCTATGCTCTTTTTCTCTTCCATTCTCTCTCTCTCTCTCTCTCTCTCTCTCTCTCTCTCTCTCTCTCTCTCTCTCTCTCTGTCACCTTTTCCTCCTTTCCTTCGACACAGCGGTCTATTATAGCTTATATTATTATTATTATTATTATATTATATATTATTAGCTTGATCATACACCGAGTTCTTTCTTTCACTTTAACGGACCCGCCTTCTGTTGCTTTTCGACGCTCTACTGCCCAGTTCCTGCACGTAAACTATCACGTACAAAAATCTCCCCACCTTTCTCCGGAATTGTCGATAACCTCCTCCGTCGACGGCGATGACCCGAAACTTGGGATGTTCTTTGAATCGTCGAAAACGATCAGACGTCGTCGTCTCTTTTGTCCTGTGCTCTCCTAGACTAGGCTAGTGCTGCTCCGATCCTTTCTTTCACCCTCGATCACCTTTCCCTTTCGATCTGCATCCCTCTTTCCTTCCTCTCCTCGTTATTTTACCCATTCTTTTTTTTTTTTTTTGCCTCGAGGATTTTCTCTCTCCCCCTCCAATCTCTCTCTTTCTGCTGTTTGTTGCTTTTCCAAATCTTGTTCTCCGACATTGTGACAGTTGTAACTGGTGTAAGCGGTGCCGAATCGAGACCGCGGATTCCACGTGGAGATGCGCGAAATCGATTCGCGCTACCATCTAGTTTGTCGTAAACGAAAGAAAGAAGCTAAGACGACGATCGGCGATAACGACGGGCGTTATTATTATTATTGGCGTAGCGAGAGGTTGGCGTGTCATCTTCTTTGCCGCCGTTTCTCGTCTTTTACCGCAAATCGTCCGATTGCTCGCGATACATGTGCCAGACAGGTACTCACCGTTTACAGGGTAACCAAAACGAAGGCAAAGGTAAATTCTTTCCGCGGGACGGGTCGGAAGAAGAGCCGCTCCGGATGCTCCAGTTTTCCATGGAAATCGATTTCAAAAAACGTGACGACGGGACGGGTCGGCGAAGAGTCGTACGAATTTATCGCGAGACGTTCGCGAAATGTTGTGACTAGCAGATGCCCTTTTCACCTTGCTTGCTCAGCGGTCTTCTCTTCGCTATTTCTCCTCTGCGCCCAGATACCGTACTAATCTGAACAACGATTTTTATCCCCCAACATGGAGGATATTATGTATTATTATGTCAAAAAAGTAAATCGGTCTGCGCGCGTTGCTCGACTCGAGCTTCGGTCGAAACGACGAGTTTCTATTCGCGATCGCGACTCTCTCTCTCTCTGAAAGAGAGTCTCTGCGCTCCTCTCTATCTCTGCACGCACGACGACTACCGATTCACCAAATCGTTTATCGCTCCTCTTCCTTCCTGCGATACGTCCGGAGGCGACGCCATCCGACCCGCTGCCGCTCGCTGTCGTTTGCACCAATTTGCACAGCCACGTCCAACAGTAGTTGCTAAAAATAAATAATACAACCGGATCAAAATCCCAAATTATTCGAGTGTCGCGAAAATGACGTGATTGGCCCTGCCACCTTTGGAATTGAATTCTTTCCGGTAACGTTCGTTTCGTCCTCTGAGAGAGCTCCTCGTGAAAAAGCTGGCTCATCGCCCATAGAATTCCTATTCGGAAGGTTGGTGTTTCAGCTTCGCGCTTTTAGACTAGCGAATCCAAGGTTGGCATAGCCAGCCGTGCGTTTCGAATAACTTTTGCGCTACACCATTAACGCTGAACAATTTCGTGACACTTGCCACAAGATCCGCTGACATATGCAACTCTATACATACATATACATACGTACACGTACGCTGTGTAACTTGCAACTACCCAAGAACTTATTTACGTACGCAGAACGTGACGCTTCGTCCGTTTTTCCTATCTCTTACCACGGATTATCGATTCGCGGTATTTCCACGGTATTGAATTGGAGATGAAATTTTTTTTGTGAAATTCACAAATCAAATATGCAAAAGAATATCCTAGAATCTTGTACGTAACCATGTACAAATATGGAATTTGTCTTTTCATGATTCTGCGTATAAAACTTGTTATTTGTATTCTTAACGATTGATCAAACGAACATCTCTCGCTCCTGCAGTTTGCCGCGATACATTTGGTATAAGTGATGATTTTCGAAAAAGATTCATTTTGTGGCTCGTTTATACCTAAAAATTACAAATCAATTTGTATTTTGCAATTTTCTTATAAACCTCAACCTTATTTCTAAAACTGGCAAGAGAAACGATCGTTTTGCCATTTTAAGTTAATTGTACAACTTACAAAGTTTTTCTGCCAAATTTATTTACTTATTCGATAGTTGATGGCCACGTGAAACTGTCGTTGTATCTATGCTGACTCAGTTTGCAATTTTATCGACGATAAATTGTTGTTTTTCTCTAGCGATGATAATTTCTCATCTGAGGTCTAACAAAAATATCAAAACATACACATCAACTTATTTATCTCTTCCATTTATCCGTATGTTTTACTATTTTGTACATCAGAATCAGTTTATAAATAAATTGATTAATAAATTTTTAAACACAATGTAACATGCCAGGAAATATTGCTCGAGTGACTCGATACACAGATTGAGTAAGATTTACAAATTTATGTACCTGCATTTTATAGGTCGAGTTGAATGCAAGAAAGCTGAAGATTCCTCTTTAAAGACGCAATTGAAACAGTTCGCCAGTTCATCCTCTTCATTAGTTTCTTTTACAAGCAAAATTTTGATTGTTTTTTTTTTCCTTTATTAATTGGCTCAAAGCGCTTAGCCTATATGCTACTTACTGCATGCTACACAAATATAGTTTTTAGATATGTATATATATGTAAATAGATACAAAAAATGGATGTGTAATTAGATATAAATTAGAAGTAAAATAATTGATACAAAAATGGATGACGGTCTTAATACGTTGATTAGCTACTTAGTTTCAGTACTTCTTCATTCCTGTTGCCTTTTAAATTTTGTGGTTATTGATTTTGAGAGAATTTCTATTTTTGACAGTTTGATTTGCGGATGTTTTAAGAATTCCTTGACCATGAATGGTCAGTGAATTTTATTTGTGATTTTAATTGGTTGGTCCATTATGATCGGTTGGAGACACTAGCGCCGCGTAGCGATGAAACCAAGGAACTAAAATCGCTACAGCGTGTGACACAATTGCCACAAGCACGCAGGTACAGACAAGATATACGGGTAGATCCATAAAATGGACTCACGCTTCATCTGTGCCATTGCTTTACTTGCTACAAATGTAGCGACCGCTACCTCCGCGCAATTTGAAACAGCGCCACCTACATCCGCTCAAACTTTCCGTCGCAAGGTGAGTTTCCAATAGAACAGGCAGCGACATCTTTTCGTAAAAGAAATAAAAAACCCTAGAAAACCGGAAAAACGCGGGAAAAGAGTTTTCCCCCTCTTCATAAACCAAGGGTATAAAACCTGGTATACTACTATATAACTACTACGTTCACTACTATCTTCGCTACTGGTAAGAACCATTCTGTACAAAAATTTGTAAGCGCACATTTCTAAAAATAAACCAAGACTATACATAGACTGTAAAAGAATTACGTATATTTTTGTACGCGAACCTACGGCAGAATCTTGCCTTATCGACTCAGGTTCCTACACAAATGTAGAAGCACGTAGTAGATAAAGTAGAATCCTACCACGGGTTCTCATATAAATAATCAGACTCGTATGAATTCTTTGGTAGATATATATTTTGAATTATACAACTTTGGTTTTCTAATCACAGCACTTACACGTAATGGATATACTTAGAGCCTCGATGGTAGCGAACGAAGACTAGGAAAAAGAAGAAGGGCTTTTCCTTTTTGCAACCCGGTTTTATAGCCTCGGTTTGCGAAGAGGGGAAAAACTTTTTTCCCGCCTTTTTCCCGCTTTTCCCGGGCTTTTATTTTTGCTCGGGAAAAGGTGTCGCTCGCTGCTTTAATGGAAACGCACCTTTCGACGGAAGGTTCTTGCGGATGTACGTGGCGCTGTCTGGTATTGCGCAGAGGTAGCGGTCGCTACACAAACAAGCAAAGTGCTGTCGCCTATCAAGTCCCTCTGGAACTAACTAGGGAGAGAAACGGACTTTACATTCTTATCCTTTCAGTTTCAGTCGGAGCTGAGAGGTTAGATGGCAGCACTGTTTACAGACAAGGAGCGATTACCTGCACCATTTCACCGTTACATGGCACTAGCCTACATGTTTCAGTAACATATGTACAAATTAATCAAGTTTGATGAATCGAGAAAATTGAAATTTAACGGATTGAATTGAAAAACGTTAGCCAACTTTGCAATTTAAATTTTCATTTTCAAAAAAAATGAATTAATTGGATCTTTGTTTTTAAAACTCAATCTTTCTTCCTGTATTCCGCTTTCGATCTGCAAAATAATAATGAGTAATGATTTAAAGTTTCTGCTCAATAGAATCGGAGCACTCTGTTGGTTAGGGGAGTGCAATAGTGTGTAACAGATTTGCATTATATAACAAGCAAGACGGTTGTGCAACGAGAACAGGAATCGATTTTAGTTCCATCTTTATACCGCTACGCGACACTATCAACTTTCAGTGTCAATGAACTGATCAAACTTTCGATTGCGGAAAAAACTAATCAAGAGGATTAATCCGTGAACGTTTCAAACATTGGATTCACAGCTTTCCTCCAATATACGATTTAATCCGTAAAACTGTATAAAGATTTGAAAATTCCGCTCGATAAATCGAAACTGGTATCTTTATATACGCGCGATGTGTTTACGAATGTTTTGCCTTCTCTCTCCCTCTCTCTCTCTCTCTCTCTCTCTCTTTGTCCCTGTACGAAATAAGAATAATGATGTTTTCCTATTTTTGAAGGTAATATGCTAATTAAAAAGTTGTAGAACAAGAATGTTTGTTCATCAGCGTACACTAAAAATTTAAAATGTACGATAAACTTTTGTCAGTAATGGATGATCAAATTCATCGTAACAATTTTAACAAGCACAGCATTTCGTAAGAAATTTGAATATTACATTTCACAACAGTGAATGACTAATTGGATATTTATAATGGGCGTTTTGACGCATGATATGTGCATGTAGGTAAATATTAATACGGACAAGTGTGTGAATGTTGTTTTCCTTTTGAATCATAATGGAGAGTGCGTAACTGCTGAATGGTAATTATATTTGTGTATGTGTCACTTGTGCATACACGCATATGTATGTATTTTTTTTCTTCATTGTGCTTTCTTATGTTTCTTTTTAAAAAGGACGCCTCATGAATTACGCATGCACGAAACGGTGTGCATGATACGGAAAGAAGTAAGTAGTTTATTTGTTTGAACTTTTGGAACGAAATACGTTGATGAACTAGAAATACACATGCATGTATACGCATGTAAACGAGTGTAAAGATACGAGCGATACGTTTCAAACATAGTTATCATCGCCATCATCCGCATCGAACCGCTGTCAGCCATAGACAAGTCGTTTTCCAATAGATGGCGGTACGTGCTATAGTGATGTAGCGACCTATAGTTCCTCGAGTACGAGTTTCGAACACCAACTTGCACAAGCCGCAAGTGGCTGTGCGCCTAGCGTCGAAGTCAACCGATATTCGATGTTAAGCAAACAGAGTGCGAAACCGGCTAGGATGGGGTGAACCAATCCAGCCTTAGCGAATAATTACAACAACAAGCGTCTGGGGTAAGGAGTCGCTGCCATCAGCCCTACTGATGAGTCTAGGCAGCGACTCTGAGACGAAATGCACAACCTTTCCTCACCTTACCCACATCATCACTTCCTACATTATCCTCGCATTATCATCGCCATTTCAAACCCTTCAGTGATTATGATAATTTATATTTATATCACAATACTATAAATAAATAATAACTCTGTAATTAATTTTAGTTGTTTATATAAAAATATTATCAATATCACAAAATATACAATTACTAATAATTTAATGAAGATTACATAATGGAAGTTAAAT